TTGGGAAGGTGTTCCCACCGGCTGAACCCGAGGCCAAGGCCAACCGGGACACGAGCGCCGACGCGGCGAAACCCAACCGACGTCTGGAAAATGTTCACCTCCGCGGCCGAAAGGACCTGCAGGGGGCGCTTTCCCACGTCAGAGGGGCGCGCAAGAAACCGCAACGCGCGATGGACGAGCCGCTCTGAAAAATCAAATGCCCGATGTTGGTGGCGGCGGGCACTACAACACGCACAGCGCTGGTCGCCTGCGTGCGCTTCGGGCGGGCGGACTGCAAGGTCGCCTGTCGCCCACAGCACTGCACGCGAGATGTGCGCGCCGGCGGCAGTCAGAGCCCTGGCACCACAACATGGAAAAATGACCTGCTGTTGAACCCTCCGTCCAGAAGAATATGCTCGCCATTCGTTCACACCAAGACCTTACGCTCCACTTGCCGTGGCAGTATACGAATGTTAATCCGAACGCTGAACGGTGGGGCGAGATGAGAAATGATAGGTGCGGTCTAAAGAAAATTTGAATTGTATGTAGCCGCTGCTGGTACAGATCAGACGTTCTCACAATTTTGATTTCTCTTTTTCTACACTCCAACTCTGCACATTTCCGCCCTGCCGTCAAGCAGCCCAATCCAACTGTCCAACGCTCGCCGGTGTCCCGATCCAGCGGAGAGCACCTGCCGCCGTTAACAGGTGCTGAGCTGGGCGTGATGCCTGACCGCGCAGGCCACGCGCCGCCGGCGGCTGTGCTCCTCCCCTCCCCCCTCGCGCTTCCCGTGCAGCGACCCTCGCGCCTCGCCGGCCGAAAAAGGCCACGTTCTATCCGATCATGTGCATGGCCGCCCGCTTTCTGGAGCCGCGTGCCACCGGCGGGCGGTGGCAACTGGCCGGCGCCGGCAGCGAGAGGCGGCGGTGGTGCGCTCCGCCGCCCGGCCGGAGCTCAGCGGCGCCCGCCGGCCGGCGACGGCCGCCCCTCCGCGGCAGGGGCGGCTCCAGGAGTGCGCCAGGGAGGGCCGCCGCCGACCGGACGACCGGCCGGCCCGGGGCGTCCCGGGGCGTCCCGGCGGCGGCGAGGCACTGTCAAGGCCTGGCGCTGCACGTTGACGCTGTGACGTGGCGTGTGACATCTGACGGGGACAGGTGTAGCCTGCTGACCGCGCCTGCCAGCGTGGCCACGCTCATTGACGCTGAGTAATGGCTCTGAGCGTGATGAAGTTCCGATCGGAGGGAGTCGGGCTGGCGGCGCGCGTGGTGTGGAGGCTCGGCCGCGGCCCGGCGGGGGTCGGCGCCGCGGCCGGCCGTGCCGGGCCGACCCTGTCCGGGTGACAATGGGGCCGGCCGGACGCCGCCCACAGGGTGATGGAATGCCGCCCCGCGGCCCAGCCGACGTCAGCCGGCCGTGATGTCCGACCGTCGGATGAGTGACCCTGTGATGTCGGGACGCCCGATGTCGGATCCTCTGCTGTCGGGGCGCCTGATGCAGTAGCCTTCGGGCCAGTGCCGCCGGCTCGGGGCGATGTGGCCCCGCTGACGTCGGCTCCGTCCGATATCGCCTCCGCTGCCGCCGCCCTGCTGCGACTTCGGCCGGCTGACTGGCCAGCTCACCGTGACGTCGGCCGCCATCCGCAGCCGGCCGGAGCAGAGGCGCAGTCGCCGCTCGGGCCGCGGTGACGGCGTCCGCGGGCCTCCGCGGGTGTCCGCGGGCCTCGGCGGGTGTCCGCGGGCCTCGGCGGGCGTCGGCGGGTGTCCGCGGGCCTCCGCGGTCGTCCGCGGGCCTCGGCGGGCGTCCGCGGGCCTCCGCGGGCCTCCGCGGGCGTGGCCTCGAGCGCCGCTGACGTGACCGCAGCCGAACGCGGGCGGATGGGACGCGAATCGCGGACCAAGGGATGTGCCGGACACAGCCCGGCACCGGCCAGATGGGCATAACAGCCCGGTCGTCTGGCCGACTGGAGGCGCGGGGGGCGAGACCGGCAGGCGTTAGGGCGGCGATATTTGTGGATATTATTACCATCTAGCCTGCTCAGTGCACTCTGAACCCACAAACTAGCAAAGATGTACCACCCAGTTTAAACGGACAATCATCCACCCTTTCATCAGACAGAACTGCGGAGGGCTTTACGCCGCACCTTGTGGCGGCACGGCCGGTCCGGGCCTGGGCTGACCACCGGCCCGTCGCCAGCTGGACTTCCCACGTCAGTCAGGCCAAACAATGCACCGGCCCCGGCGCTCGTACCCAGCGCCGCTGGATGGCGAGTCGAGCATCTTTCCCCCAGACAACGGAGGCGACAAAGACACGTACGTGATTCCGGGAAAGGCTTTTGCGCTCCACACCCTTCACTTTGAGGGTGACACAAAAAAAGGGCAACAATTTCCAACGCATGCACCCGGAACCTGTCCAAGTACCGTGTTTGACATGCACCCTGATAAGGCGCCAAAGACATTTGTGGGTCGGAATGCCCACTTCAGCACGTCTATGCTCAGAAAGCTTACGTAGATTTATGCTTGTATCAAGGTTTTAAGACCTTGGATGATCTGTTTTTTGTAATGAAAATTTGGAAGTGATGGGGTTGACAACATGGGCTCTTACTGTTCTCAAAGTTTAATCAAATCAAGCTCTGCCATAGCTGCAAGACAATCCGATTCGACTCTAGTCGGATATCCGTTGCGGTTGACCGCCAGCGGACGCTCAGCGGACGGTCAATGGTCAACAGTGGAGTACATGTGCTCATTGATTTCGCGATGTTTCGAAAAGACGTGCCAAAATCTGAAGATTTGGATGTTTTTACACTGAAAGTGTTCCACATGTGTGTGAGATTTTAAACTGAAGTGGCCAATTTGAATATCAATTCACATATCACATATGGGTTCACTTCAACAATAATTCACAGCCCTGTCCTTATTTAGACCTAAGACCCGCCAGTTTCTTAGCTGCACTCCACGACAACGTCGTTCAAATATCCTGCCAGCCCATAGGCCATGCGGCGTTCAAGGCCATAATTATAGTATCGTGGAGCCGCTTAGGTCAGGCCTCCGTGTGCGCGATTTCCTAATGTTGCGGACGTCCATTGGCTCTCCATGAATGTTGAACCAGTTGCACAGGGCTCAGTCACGATTGGTTGTTTGGATTAGCCCGTTTCGCACCGGGAATGACCATTTCAAGGTTGTGGGAGGAGGGGAAATGGCGGTAGGGCAGGACTAGACACGCCCGGGTCTAACCTCGAGCCCCGGGTCGCGCATGAACCCGCCGGAGTGTGCGCTGGGGCCTCGTTTGGGGCCCCCCGAGGCGCGTCTCGGCCCGGATCGCGTGTTGCGCTACATTTTGTAAGAAGTTGGAGATTATGACTTGTTATTACGGAAGTAAGACTTGCAATCGAATAACTTCGAAAAATGCCGTAAGCAAGTATGTCCAATGCAAGTAAACTCTGTAGACTCACGGGACAATATGCAAGAACACCACGGGGGTGCCAAACACGAGCACTTAACGATATGTGGCTCAGTGAACACTTGCAGCACCCGTGCTATCATCTCTCGGCAAATTCGAAGTACTTCAAGTGATAGCGTAGGGTGGCAATTTCGCATGTCTAGTTTGGCAGCGACTCTATGTCATACAAAGGTTCCATGACGCGCCCAAACAATGACAGGCAGCATAAGAGCATATTGAGGAGCAGAAAAAGCTCTTGTCTGGAGTAGCCCTTTTCACTTTAAAGTATGCCAATAGCTATAGCGAGCTTATTTCATCATATCTGATGTTTGGTTCAACATCGATAAATTTGTGTTTAGAACTGTCCTTTCCATGTGTTGAAAACGCTCGGTCTAAGACTGGTGTCCGATTGCAATAACCTGTCCATACAGTTACAGTTGCAGGGTGCAGTTGAATAAATTCCATTTCATTGAAATGTATGCACTTATGCTTGTGCTATGGACATTAATGTAGATGTTTTCAGTTTTATTGCGATTATTCTGCATGTTTTATTTGGTACAAATATGATTTTTTCGTAATATTTTTTTGTCAACGTCGGGTCCCGAAACCTTAACTCAAATCATGTTTAGGCCTTCATGTTTCTGACCGTAGGCCTTCCGACTGATATGCTCTTCATGCAGGCGTCATGTGCGCACGCCTTATGAAAGGAGACGTTCTGATAAAGGACACCAAAAATAGACCTCCTGAAAATAGACATCCTGGGCTAGTCCGGCGTCCACTCGGCCGTCTGCGGGCTGGCGTGTCCGGTCTCGGGTGTCACAGCACGCCGCGCCACCGCCACTGGGCGACGGGTCGCTCGGACGTGACCAGCGAAGCGGACTACCGTCGTAGCCGGCACTGTCGGGGACAGACTCCCAGCGTCGCAGCCGGCACTGTCGGGGACAGACTCCCAGCGGGGCCGGCGCTGGCGGGGATGACCCGCCGACGGCCCGCCCCTGGACGTGCCCGGCTGGAGCCCAGCGGGCGCCGCGGCCGGCCGGCCCCCGGTCCTTCCCCGCGTGCCGCAGCGGCAAAAACATGGCCGCACCGCGCCGGACGGCCACCGCCGCCGACATATTGCGCGTTCTCGTTGGGACGTGAGGCGCGCCCGGTCGGCTGGTGTTAATTTCTCGGGCCAGGAATGTGCTGCCGCCTGGGGTCAGGGCTCAATTAGCGGCTGGCCGGTCACTGGGCTCGCTCCGGTCACTGGGCTCACTCAATGACCGGAGGTCACGGGATTTGGCGATTTGACGTTGGCGTGCTCGGCGGCCGGCGGTGCTGGCAGTTTTAATTATTTCCCTGGTCCGTGTGTTGCCGTGCTGAATGAAGTTTGTACTGGATCGAGTGGGCATGCGTTGTGGCGGGGTTCGCAGGACGTCGAGCTGTTAGCGGGACATCGTGTTCGTGAGATGTTATGTGCTGTCCGTGCATCTGCGCACCGTGTCACTGGACTTACCACTTAAACGACTGACCTCTGACCTCACCTCATAACTGACCTCACCCCGTTCGTGTTCACGCCCCCGACGTCAATGTTCTGTTGTTTCAAGTACTGTCGTACAAAGGAGGCACCTGTGAGTACCGTACGGGAAGCCGGACTCCTCTTGCTGTGGCCGGCCCGGGGTCCGGTCCCGACTGTAGCATGTTGCATGCGCTGCCGTTTGTCGCACCCCGCCCCGCGGCCCGCGGCTCGATGGCGGCCGCGCGCCGGGGGCGGCCACACCGTCATTACGGTCACGCGCTGTCCCGCCGCCCCGCCGGCCCCGCCGGCCCGCCGGCCACCGGCCTCGGCTTAGGGCCCGCCAGGCCCGGCTGGCGGCGATGGTGCTGTCGGCAGCCGCCGGCCGACACTGGGATGCAGGCCATCGGCGTGACGTGCTCCAGCCGCACTGCTACGCGGAGAGCATGGGCAGATCACGACACATGCTCAACTGCTTTTGTAAACTGCGCACGACGCCAGCATGTGCCGTTATGTGTTGTAGTGGCTTTGTGGCGTCCGGGCAGAGTGCTTGCGCTGCCGCAGTTGCTAGATCATCAACGCGCAGGTGCTGACCACTAGCACCTTAAAAAATGTTTGCTGGTCGGAGAGCCGCATGCGTAACTTCACATGCCATTTGTGTGTCCCGGCGTGCCGTCTTTAAAGCAGCGAATGTGCTAATGTTTCATCAGCGCGCGACACGAGCTCTGCGCACCCTCCCCGTGAGCGCCGTCGTCCCCCGGTGTCAGCGGGCGTCTGGCTGGCCCGGGCCGGTGCCGGAGACCGCCGGAGCAGGCTCCCGTGCCGCCGTCTCGCCGCTCTGTGGTGCCGGTGTCGGCCGGCGTGCCGTCGTCCGCGCGGCCCCCGCTGACCGGCGCCCCCGCCGTGTTCCAGACCAGGACAACCAGCGCATCATCATCCGCGTGGAGGACGACAACGACGAGAACCCGTACTTCATCAACCGGCCGCTGCCCATGCAGGCGGTGGTGAAGCTAAACGCGCCGCCCAACACGCCCGTGTTCACGCTGCAGGCGCGCGACCCGGACACCCACCACAACATCCACTACTTCCTCGTCAAGGACCGGAGTGAGTGGGTTGCCGCCGCGGCCGAGGCGCGGGAGATGGCGCGGCGCCGGGTCGAGCCCGAGCCGGCGGCGACCCTCCTTCCCGCCCGGCCAGTCACTCGCAGGGGTGTCGATTGGCTCGGGAGCCGTCGGGCGCCGGCCGGTGTGCGTCGCAATCGCCTCGGGACGCGCTGTCTCCGGCCGGGAGTCGGGAGGAGCTCGGCTGGTCCGGCTCCTCCGTCGTCCGGCCTCGGCCGTGACGTGTGGCCGCCTCTGAACGCCAGCGGACACCGCGGACTCCGTGGGACTCCGCCGAGTCCGGGCCGGATCGTTATCCGCATTCCTTGTGGATTGCACGGCGTGGACGCTGGGCCATTTTCATCCGGGCCATTTCCGCTGTGCAGAGCGTGGGGCCGGCCGCCGTCGCCGGCGTCCCGCGGAGTAAATCGGCGTCATTTCGGCTCATCATGCCAGTCTTCAATTAGCCGATTCGGGCCTCCTCATTTGGGCGCGACGCGGCGCGACGGTGACGCATGGGCTCGTTAGTCGGCAGCCGGACGCCGGCGGCGGACGCGGCCGCTCGCACCGGTGGATTGTTGCCGCCGCCGGGCCGCGTTGTCATTGTTCGGGCTGGGTGGGTCCGCGGGGCCCGCGGGCGGGCGGAGCGTTCGCTCGTTGCGCGCCGGGCCGGCGACTGCGCGCGCCGGGCCGGGCCGGGTGCGGCCCCGCCCGTCCGGCGGCGCCGCGCTGGCCCCAAGCGGCGCGACCCGGCTGGCCGGCGCCGGCTCGCGACCCCCGTCGCCCCAGCCGTGCCCTGCGGGCGCCGGCGGAGGTCGCAGACACGCTGCCGTCGAGCACTGCGGCCGGTTTTCACTGTCGGTTCCCCGGGCGCTGCCGGCCCGTTCGCCGGTGTATTGATCGGGGCCGGCGAGCGGCCGGCGACACTCAGACAGAGCGGTTTGTGTTCGGCCGCCGCCGGAGTGCCCCCGACGGACGGCGCTGCGGCGCCCAGCCCGGCTCAGCCGCCGCGCCGGTGTGATCGCCGACGAGAATCGCTCGGCTGCGGGATTGCGGTTCATCATGCTGAGATGGACACGGAATTGTTTCGATTGTGGCGGCGCTCGGAAACTCCCGACCTTTGTTAGCCGGGAGCACCCCGTTGGGTTTGAATTGCTCATATGTTTGATTTGGCCGGATGGAGTCTGCTCTTCGTTTTTTTTTTGAAGCCTTATACGTTTCCTTATAAGGATTCGTTTTTATTCATAGACGACATGCTTGCTTGAAGGAAATTGATGCTGGTATCTTACCCAGGCGTTATATTGCATATTGAGATGGAAACGCCGGTATTTGTCGAGGCTGCTAGAGCCTACGACCACCGGACTTCTGTTGTATGGCCACTTCAATCAGCCAGCATTCCACTCACGTACAGAGAAGATTAGACCTAACCGTACCTGGCGACTGCCCGAACGGCACGTTTGATGGCCGCAGCAGCCGATAAGCTAATTAATTAACTTGGTAATCCGCAGGCCGAGGAGAATGATCAAGTGCGGCGGAGGGCGATCAGCTCGGCTCTCGCTGTTGTAGTCTGCAGTCGTAGCGACTCGTGAGCGATGGTTCCGTCAGCAGGACGCATCTGCAGCTCCGACCCGATCTGATCGAGCAATGCTGCAGCTCTGCAGCGCGGCGGGCGTCCACGTGCGGCCTCGCCGGTCCGGGGCTCGCCGCGGCGGCCGGACCGACACCGGTGACGAAGCCGGCGACAGTGCACTGGCGCTAGCCTGGTCCGATGGGAATTGTTGTCTGGTTGGGTTTGGTCAGGACTATCGCATGGCGTGATCCGCTCCATCGTGAAGTGGTTAGGTTCATTTTGAGCCGGTGTGGTTCGATCTGGTCTGGTCTAGTCTCTCCCGGTCCAGCCCTGGACCGGCTGCGGTCCGGTGCGCCGACGCGGCGTCCGCAACGCGACAGCATGGACCGGCGGCCGCCGTCGTCCGCGGCCGGCTCTGCCAACGGCGGCGCTGGAGAGGTGGTCCGAACTCGACCTCCCCCGTGATCACTGAGAGACGGAGAGGGGCAGGCGGGCGCTGAGAGACTGGCGTGGCTGGGCTCGGCTCGCTCGGATGGTGGGGCTCGGCGCTGGCGAATCGGCAGGCCTCTGGCGACGGTGCCGTGCCACTGCTGGAGTATATCGGCAGGCCTCTGGCGACGGTTGCCCTGGAGTATATCGGCAGGCCTCCTGGCGACGGTGCTGTGCCACTGCTGGAGTATATCGGCAGGCCTCTGGCGACGGTGCCTGTGCCACTGCTGGAGTATATCGGCAGGCCTCTGGCGACGGTGCCGGGCCACTGCTGGAGTATATCGGCAGGCCTCTGGCGACGGTGCCGTGCCACTGCTGGAGTATATCGGCAGGCCTCTGGCGACGGTGCCGTGCCACTGCTGGAGTATAATCGGCAGGGCCTCTGGCGACGGTGCCGTGCCACTGCTGGGTATATCGGCAGGCCTCTGGCAACGGTGCCGTGCCACTGGCTGGAGTATATCGGCAGGCCTCTGGCAACGGTTGCCGTGCCACTGCTGGAGTATATCGGCAGGCCTCTGGCGACGGTGCCGTGCCACTGCTGGAGTATATCGGCAGGCCTCTGGCAACGGTGGCCGTGGCCACTGCTGGAGTATATCGGCAGGCCTCTGGCGACGGTGCCGTGCCACTGCTGGAGTATATCGGCAGGCCTCTGGCGACGGTTGCCGTGCCACTGCTGGAGTATATCGGCAGGCCTCTGGCGACGGTGCCGTGCCACTGCTGGAGTTATATCGGCAGGCCTCTGGCGACGGTGCCGTGCCACTGCTGGAGTATATCGGCAGGCCTCTGGCGACGGTGCCGTGCCACTGATGGAGTATATCGGCAGGCCTCTGGCGACGGTGCCGTGCCACTGCTGGAGTATATCGGCAGGCCTCTGGCGACGGTGCCGTGCCACTGCTGGAGTAGGTCCTCTGGCGACGGTGCCGTGCCACTGCTGGAGTATATCGGCCAGGCCCTCTGGCGACTTGGTGCAGTGCCACTGCTGGAGTATATCGGCCGGCCTCTGGCGACGGTGCCGTGCCCACTGCTGGAGTATATCGGCAGGCCTCTGGCGACGGTGCCGTGGCCACTGCTGGAGTATATCGGCAGGCCTCTGGCGACGGTGCCGTGCCACTGCTGGAGTATATCGGCAGGCCTCTGGCGACGGTGCCGTGCCACTGCTGGAGTATATCGGCAGGCCTCTGGCGACGGTGCCGTGCCACTGCTGGAGTATATCGGCAGGCCTCTGGCGACGGTGCCGTGCCACTGCTGGGGTATATCGGCAGGCCTCTGGCAACGGTGCCGTGCCACTGCTGGAGTATATCGGCAGGCCTCTGGCGACGGTGCCGTGCCACTGCTGGAGTATATCGGCAGGCCTCTGGCGACGGTGCCGTGCCACTGCTGGAATGTATCGGCGTGCATCACTGGATACCCGATATCAAGTGGTACAGGATAATGGTTAATCGTGTGAATGAATGACCCGATCTGTCAGCCGATAAATCAATCAAGGCGATGTAATCGAGACCGGTTAACGTGTATCAGTCAATCTTAACAACGCGTCATTTCACCTATGCTCGGCCTTTTACGTCGCCTGAATGCGGCGGCGCGGGCCAATTCTCGGCGCGCGTGGCCCGCGTCTACTGCCTCCAGATGAGACGGATAAACCCGTGACGATCAGCGTGCGTGTGCCCGCCTCGTGCCCGTACCTCGAGCGGCCGTCTCGGACGTTGACCAGCGCTCGTCCGTCGCGTCCCCAGCCGTGTGTGTGCCTGCCTCGTGCCGTACCTCGAGCGGCCGTCTCGGACGCTGATCGGCGCTCGTCCGTCGCGTCCCCAGCCGTGTGTGTGTCTGCCTCGTGCCGTACCTCGAGTGGCCGTCTCGGACGCTGACCAGCGCTCGTCCGTCGCGTCCCCAACCGTGTGTGTGTGTGGCTGCCTCGTGCCGTACCTCGAGCGGCCGTCTCGGACGTTGACCAGCGCTCGTCCGTCGCCGTCGCCAGCCGTGTGTGTGCCTGCCTCGTGCCGTACCTCGATCGGCCGTCTCGGACGCTGACCAGCGCTCGTCTGTCGCGTCCCCAGCCGTGTGTGTGCCTGCCTCGTGCCGTACCTCGATCGGCCGTCCTCGGACGCTGACCAGCGCTCGTCCGTCGCGTCCCCAGCCGTGTGTGTGCCTGCCTCGTGCCGTACCTCGATCGGCCGTCTCGGACGCTGACCAGCGCTCGTCTGTCGCGTCCCCAGCCGGCGGCCGTTTCCAGGTGGACGAGCGTTCGGGTGTGGTGCGCACGCGCGGCGCCGAGCCCTTCCAGCTGGACATGGAGTACGTGCTGTACGTGAAGGCCGAGGACCAGAACGGCCGCGACGCGCTCGGCAAGTTCCAGGCAACCGAGGAGGAACGGCTCAGCATCGTGGGTGGCAAGCGGCAGCCGCAGTTCTACATGCCCGGCTACGAGGCCAAGATCTTCGAAAACCACCAGAAGGACACCAAGTTAGTGCCGCTGGCCGGAGCGCCGCGCGGGGTGTTCTGGGAGGAAATGTTTGTTTGTGTCCGCCGCTGGCGGGAGCATTCGGTGCTGAGGCCGCAAGATGGACACGATCTGCATGTTGGACACGATCTGACGCCAAGGTCACATGTCTGCACCGTAGGTCATGTCGAGATGGTGGGACGCTAACCGCTGTATCCGATGGGCGAAGGTCTTATTCATATGCATGCCCCCCAGACGGCCAGTGATTGCTCTTCCGGTAGCTGTAATGACCGGTGCAATTGCGCTATCATCGTTTTGCGTACAAGCCCGGCCGTGGCGCTTTGATTATTGTTCCTGTCGGAACGGTCGCGCCCGGTGTTTGCTGTTACAACACGCCGGGCGGCGGTTCATCATACTGGCGGCGTGTGGCCGACGCCGGGAGCGGCTGCAGGTCGCTCGCCGAGGCGTGGCCCAGATCACCGCGGCCGGCCCGCGCCGCCTCATGATGTAAATCAGACCTGGCAGTTTTTGCCGGCTGCGGGTGGCGCGGGCGTCGCAGGAATCGGCGCCGGGGGCCGAAAAAACGGCCCACCTTTGCCTCGTGATTCTCCCCGCCGCTTTTTACGGCAGGCGCCGGCGATCCGGTGCGCTCCGGCGGCTTTTGATGGCGGTGGCGTCTGTTCCAGGCGGTCGGGGACTGAATAACGCCTCATTTGACCGGGTTGATTTGCAGCCGGTGGGGTTTTTGCCAGGCGTGCGCGGCGAAGCTTGGGGCGCAGGCAGCCGGCGCTGCCCGGGCGCCGGCTGACCCAGTCTGGAGTGTATTCATCAGCGCGGCCCGCCGTCACCGGTCGTGGCGCCGTGATCTACGGCGCCCGGCCGGGGTGGCCGAAGGTCGGCGGTGACGTGGCGCCGGTCGCCCCGCGGCGGTCACGTGACGCGACGCTCACCCCTCCGGCGCTGCCTGTCGCAGTGTCATCGCCGTCAAGGCCAAGTCGTTCGCCGACCGCGAGATTCGCTACACGCTGAAGGCGCAGGGCCTGGGCGCCGGCACGTTCAACATCGGCCCCACTTCCGGCATCGTCAAGCTGGCCAAGGAGCTGGACTTCGAGGACGTGCGGCAGCCGCACATCTACTCGCTGGTGGTGACGGCCACCGAGGACTCGGGCGGCTTCTCCACGAGCGTCGAGGTGAGAGAGGCCGCTGACGCTGTCGGCGCCGCTGCCGCTGCTGCTGCCTGCGCCGGGGCGACCGGGAAAAGCGGCGTGAAATGCCGGTCATTTTGATGCTGGGCGGATGGTGAATGGAAACTGGACTTGCGCATATTGCGTGACGCACGTTATCCTGATGAACTTTCGAGGCTTTCGCAACATGTTCGCCGAAGTCAGCAGATAATGGACCAGGGTGACACTAACAGCATATTTATTACGTCTGATGTTTTTCATGCACGCCACAGGCAGGCTGTCGGAACGGAAGCAGCGCGGTCAACGTACACTATCGCGTTAGTAGTGACACATACACCAGATCTCTCAGGTCAACGCTGCTCTTCGGCTGGCTGGGCTGTACCCACCCGCCGCCGCTGCTCTGGCGCCCACCTCCCCCGCTCCGGCCGGCCTGCCGCGGTCCCCATCCGCCGCTGCTCCTCTGGCGCCCACCTCCCTCGCTCCGACCGGCGTGCCGCGGTACCCATCCGCCGCTGCTCCTCTGGTGCCCACCTCTCCCGCTCCGGCCCGGCCTGTCGCAATCATGCTCACCCCCTGACCTCCGCCTCCTCTCGCAGCTGGACCATCAAGGTCATGGACGTCAACGACAACGCGCCGAAGTTCGAGCTGCCCGACTACCAGACGCACAACGTGCCGGAGGACATCCCGGTGGGCTCGGAGCTGCTGCGTGTCAAAGGCACGGACAGCGACAGCGGCACCAACGCCGACCTCTTCTACTCGGTCAGCGACGACCACTTCCGCGTCGACGACCAGGGCGCCATCTACAACAACCGCGTCCTGGACGCCGACAACAACAACGGCCTGTACCAGTTCCTGGTGACGGCCACCGACCGAGGTGTGTGCGGCGCCGCCGGCGACGGCAGCGTCGCTGGCGGACGCGTCGGCCGGCTGTAAACGGCTGGGACGCTGATGAGCAATGGTAGATGCCGCTGGCCAATGTCTGCCGCTGTTCATGCGATGCTCGGTCGGTTTGTTTTTACTGGCAGCTCACTCGACGCTGCTGACCACGTTTTTACGCCCACGCAACACTTGTCATGTTCTAGCATCATAAGCTGGCTTTGTGTAGTAAGTTCGAAACTGGTTTGACCGTCGCCTGATCCGGTCTGAAATTAGTGTTCTGTGACGTATGGCAGAAATCCTGTTTGACATTTTTATCGTCATACCAGCCTCAGCCCACTTCCGCCGGCTCCCCATGCCAGGCGAGCCTCGCGTCCGAACCGTGCCCGCGGAGACGGCGCGGTCGCCGGACCCCACCTGCGCGCCTCGACCGGCCTGGTCCGGCCGACCGGCCGCCTGGCCGGCCGTCCCCACACTGTCCATTATTCACCGTTCGTCGGCCCGGCCGGCGGAACCGATCGGTGCCGCCGGAGCACGCGCGCCGCGACTCGTCCGGTCCAGCCCGGCCGCCGCCGCCGCCGCCGCCGCCGCCGCTGCGTCGGCGGCGGCGATGACCGAGGTGTCGTCGATTGATCGGCGGGCGCGCGCGCCGCCGGTCGCGGGAGCGGTCCGCCCGGCGGCGGCGGCGGCGCGCACCGGGCGGACGCTGCCGCCGCCACGCCGCCGGCCGGCCGGCTGCCGCCCGGGCCGGTTTAATTAGCGGCGGCCGGCGGGGCCGATCGCGAGCGCCGATACTGCGCACGTGGCGCGGCGCTCGTTGGTGTTTAAACGCGAGATGTGATGTGGGAGTCAATTACCCGGTTTACATGGGCAGCCGAGGATAATTCGAATTAAGATCGGAACGGATCATGCGACGTTAACCCTCTCGGCGAGGGGCGTTTACATGGGCGAAACCGGCTGTACGTCGGATTAACGGTCGATAGTTGGATCCCGCTTAGTTCGAATCAAGGAACGGATTATGGGCGAAAACTGCGCTTTTGAGGCGAACTGAACAAAACAAGAAGAAAAAAGCCGGTACTCTGCGTATGGATGGCGAATGTCACGAGCCATGGTGGGCGCGGGACAGCTTTGAGGGCGAGGAGGAAGATGGACTCCGTTGGAAAAATGATCTGTGCGGGACTCATAGGCTTTATAGCTATAGCACAAGCCATAGCACTTGAAACACGAGAGTTGCGCAGTCAGCACTGCCAAATCTGTCACATAAGCAGTGTTATATGCAAATTTTTACTAGCGGGAAACTTTGGCTAGCAGGAAATCAGTATTTTCTTGTATTGGCCAATGACACTCACAAACTTACCACACTCATATCAGTATGCCACCCAGCATCATGTCATCTACTTTGCGCAGCCCAAGAAACACATTACCTACTCCCACACTAATGCATTTATGAGCAGCCTGCAACAGTGAGCTAAGCTACAGAAATGACTCATGAATGCTACATAGTTAGTGGCAAAAATTGTGTAACTATGTTGTCTTTCCCCATCCAATGCATCATCAGTACCTGAGGGCAGCATTGCCACTTAGACTTGGCATGGACTGGCAAGTCAGAATGTAGCTATTTGCTTTCTTGACATACTAGGGTTGAAATACTGCTTTGATATCCTTGCAGTCAACAGCATTGGCTGATATGGACTGATGGCTAGGTGGCACAAACAGCTGTGTTCGCACAGTCCAAAGATCATAACATGTGAACCAGCCCCAGAGCTGTCATGACAAACGCAATCTGGGCTCAAAATTCATAACAAATGATTAATTATAACAACAGCTCAATTATCCACCTCATGGTTTGCAAAGATACATGTCACACAAAAGCACCAAGGTAACATATTTAATCACCAGTACAAAAACAGGTAATGACGTGCACCACAGATGTTCTCTGCACATCATGTGGCATTATGTTAGGTTTACTTAGTTTATGTACTGTTTTCTTCCACATGAAATGCACAAACCTGGATTTGACAGAGTACTGATGACAGCTATTTTCATCCAGTGCTCACATTTGCTTTCTTGACATTTTGGAACCATCACTGGGCAATTTTGGTCCCATCATTAAAAATAGTTCACATTCTGCACTGACTGCAATGATCTATTGCCTATATTTGTTGATCCTTTGCATCATGCAGGAATTATTGAGTTACCTATCTCACGCACATTAAACTGACAAGCAACAAACAGCCTAATCACATCAAAAACAAATATTCCAGCCCCCGCTTCCTTGCCATTTGGTCTACCAGTGTGATGTAACTTCATATTTCCTTGACGAGCCAGTCACCAATATCCAGCACATCCCTCCTGCCAATAGGTGGTCAACCAAATGCTCAAGTCACAGGAGGAATGTCTGCAAAATCAATCCTGGGGCATTTATGTATTCACTTGATGAAAGAAACTATTGGTACTCCCTGCAAGAATTGTTTAACAGTTGAAGTACCTACCTCATGGCCTGCAAAGACACCCATCACAAAAAAGCACCAAGGTGACATATTTAATCACCAGTACAAAAACAGGTGATGATATGCAACACAGACATGTTCTCCATGCAGCATGTGCCATCGTGTTAGGTGTTAGTTTATGCACTGTTTTCCTGCACATGGAACACACAAACTTGGATTTAGCAGAGTAATGATGACAACTATTTTCATCCAGTGTTCACATTTGCTTTCTTGCTGTTCTGACCCTGTCATTGGGCAATTTCGGTCCTACCATTAAAAAAGTTCACATTCTGAGCTGACTGCAATGATCTATATTTGTTCATCCATCATATCATGCAGCAATTTTTAAGCTAGCTTTCTCACACAAATTTAACTGACAAGCAACCAGCACCCTAATTTAAGGAACATCTGCAAAAACACTCCTGGGGCCTTAAGGTATTAACTTAATGAAAGAAACTTGGAGGCATTCTCTACAAGAATTCTGAGCAATCCAAAAATTGAAGTGAGAACAAGTCAAAGCTATATAAAACGACCATATTACCTCCATCTGGCTTTTGGAAGCATGGAGCCTGCCCCAGATGTAAATTAATCTAACCTTTAGGCGGAAAGATAACACCAAACACCGCCGACGCCTGCTGTCTGCATAGTTCAAGCGCCTAGCAAGGCTAAATTACATGAGCATTTCTGTGCTGCTAGCCACCCAAGGCCCTCAATAATAACAGTAGTTTTAGCAGCATGGTGTCAACTTCACCTTCTTTCTCTTTTCCTTTGCCATCTTGGCCTTGGACCGTCTCGAGCAATAGCTAAAAACCCGTGGAAAAGCGGCAACACCAAACAAAGCTGAAATGGCCATGAACGGAACTGCGTGCGCCAGGCATTTTTCTTTTTTTTTTTGTTTAGACAGCTGACGGCCGATAATTCGGACGAAATCCCTTCCTGAACGGATGATCCTCTCACGGGAAGGGATTTCCTCCGGCGCACGATTCGAATCAGCGGAACGGCGCGTGAGTGTATACATGGGCCAGATAGTTCGGATCGAGGACGGGTCCCGGCTCAATTCGAATCACAGCTGCCCATGTAAACAGGGTAAATGCGCCGGGGTGGGTCGAAATGAGCGGGTGGCGCTTGTTATGACGCAGAGGACGTTGTTATGCCCGTGACGTCCTTGCGGGTAAATTATTGAGGGTCATTGATCGAAGTCAGATCATTACCAGGGCAGTGAAACCATAATCGGCGACCGGCGGCGGTCTTTGACGTATTTGGATTTTGCAGCGCGAGGGGGCGGGGACGGTGCGCGGCACCAGTCAGGGCGGCGGGGATCGATGCAGTGTGGCGGGTGTGTGGGTGGCACGCAGTGCAAGGTAGCTCCCGACCTTCGCCGTAGAACATGGCCGTTTCGGACCGAAACACGGTTTTATTGATCTTTTCGTAAGCGAGCATTCCTGGGAGGCCCAGGCCCACCCGAGCTGTCTGTTCGGTAATGGCTGAGCTGGGACCGCGCCGCGCTGAGCATGTTTGCACTTGGTGTGGTCCAGACGGCCCGAGAACCCAGCGCTCCGCCGGGTACGGGTCCCGCACCCTCGTGGGAGCACTTGGCGCGGGAACCCAGCGGCCCCGCTTGGACCCAACGAGCCCGCCGGTCAGGCCAGCCCAGCCGCTGCCCTCTGACCGTCCGACCCGCTGTTGGCCCCCACCGCTGGTGACGTTCTCAACCGCTTGCTAAACCGAGCTCCGCCCGCGTGCTTCGAGCCCAGCCCTCCGCCGGACTTGACGATCCCATTCCCCCGCCAGATGCGAGCACTTGTCCTCTCCGCCGAACGTAACTCGCTGGCCCACCGTACCTTGCATCCCCCTCCAGCCGGGAGTGTCTCCGCTCTGCAGCGAGCGGCGCCCTCTCGCTACCCTGACGCCCGCCATGACGCCCGCTCTGTCCGGCCGCGGCAGGTGAGCCGGCCAAGACGGGCACGGCCACGGTGCGCGTCTACACCAAGAACAAGAACGACGAGGAGCCGCGCTTCACACAGCAGGTGTACACGCCGAACGTGGACGAGAACGCCGGCCCAAACGCGCTGGTCACCACCGTGGTGGCGTCGGACAAGGACGGCGACCGCGTCAAGTACGGCTTCGCCAACGGCGCCAACACTTACGGCCAGTTCATGATCGAGGAGAACACGGGAGTCATCCGGCTGCGCAACGGCGCTATCGAGCTCGACCGCGACAAGTACGAGGTGAGCAACGACGTTCGACCGCGACAGGCGTCAGATGGAGGGCGATGTTGTGATGTGAGGTGAGTAGCGAGACTGGAGGGGGAGGGGGAGGGGAGAGATTGCGGAGAGGAGCGAGTCTGGTGTGGAGAGCCGTCTGGCGTGAGAAGCGCAGGGCTGGCCCTGTGGTGAGGCTGGACCGCGCCGAGCACGCCCGTTGGCACCGGATGCGTGCCCTGGCCTGCCGGGGGGGGGGGGGGGATGAGACGGCCGTGTTTGAGTCCAGCCCCTTCCCCCGCCCTCGGAGGCGTCCCACGGCAGCCGCGGCAGCCGCACGCTGCGACGGCCCGGCCATCGACCGAGCCTCGCCAGCCATAATACCTGCCGTGAGGCCGGCTCCGTCGGCCCCCTCCCCCCCCCCCCCTTCCCCCGCTTTAGTGTGCTCCGAGCCGCGTCCCGCCGGCCTCGTCTGGACCGACCCCGTCCCGCCGGCGGCGGCCGGCCGGCCCTCGTTTCGGGTCGCTGCCAGCGGTGCCCGGTTATGAACTGCCGCCGCCGTCGCGGACTCTTGCCGCTGCTCTGCTGGGCGCGGCCGGGGACGCTGCACGACGGCGTCGCCGGTCGATGCGGCTGGGACACACGGGGAGTGGCGTTACGTGATCGCCGCAGCGGGCGCGCTGAAGCCCCGCGGCGCGGCGCCAGGCGGACCTGGCGGCGGCGTGCAACACTGGATATGCTCACTGGATGAGGTGGGGGAGGGGAGGGGAGGGAGTGCAGCTGGAAGCCGGCACCTGACTAACTCAATTAAGGTTGAGCAACTTCGCAGATGGCACTGGGCGCAGCATTGATGTGGGCCGGAAGGCGAGTGGACTGAGAACTGCGGCTTCCAAGGGCGCTCCTGCTGCCAGCACCGGCTTGTCGCAAACTAGCTTAACTGCAACACTGATTTACGCCAAAGTACATTTGTGTTACGGCTAAGCCAGTGTCACTCACCTGACCTGACGGAACCATACGTGCCCTGCCATACCCTGATCTGCCCTTATATGACATTATGTGACCTGCTATGACCTTATCTGACCTGATCTGACTTGAAGTGGTCTGACCTGACCTGACCTGACCTGTGGTATCCGTCAGGTGAACGTGACGGCCACGGACGACGGCTCGTGCTGCGAAGGTGGCGGACGCACCATCCACACCAGCACCGCCGTGGTGGTTGTCTTCATCACCGACGTCAACGACAACAAGCCCGTGTTCAAGGAGTGCAAGACGTACCGGCCGCGCGTCGAGGAGTCGGCCTCCAACGGACGGTGAGTGACGTTCGCGCCGCCGCCGCCGCCGCCGCCGCCACCCCCGCAGCGGCGAGAGCGCCGGCGACGTCACAGATCAGACATGGCCCTGCTGACCTTTGGAAACTCGGGCGGCGTGGGCTGCCTTGTCACTGCACGTCGTCATCTTGTCGGAGTCCAATGTCGGGACGGCCTCGCGTCTGTGACGTCGGCGTGGATTCTGCGACCTGCCGTCGGCGGCGTTGGCGGAATGGCGTCTCCCGCCGGGTCCCTGCTGCCGGCGGCCGCGGCGGGGAGGCGGCTGTAGATGGCGTCCTCCGCCGGCTAACTGCCGTCGGCGGCGGGTGAGGGGGCGGTATGCGGCGGCGGCAGACACCACGTCGCCTTCTCCGTCCTCGGTCATCAGCAGTGTGCCGTGGAGCGCGCGCGCTGCCCGCGCAGTGTCTGCTCTTCAAGGATGTGCGATGTGTGTCGTTCTTTTTCGTGCGTGTCTGTAAAGGGTTTGAATTGTCCACACGTGTCGGCTGGGGGCTATTTGCCTGGGTCGGCTGCGCGCCCCGGAGAGGGCTTCCGCGACCGCTGCCTCGCACGCAAACTGTCGGTTCGAACCCGCGAGACTTGGCCCTTATGCGAGACCCTCCGCGCCAGGTTCGTGCTGGAAGTGAAAGCCACCGACGCCGACAAGGGTATCAACGGCCAGGTCAAGTACAGAATCGTGCAGCAGCCCAACCAGAAGGGCACCAAGTTCACCGTCGACGACGACACCGGCAAGATCTACACCAACAAGGTGGGACGGCTGACGTGCTGCGGGCGGGGGCTGGCAATGGACGTATGGGAAGGCGGCAGACGAAGGGTGTTGGTGTTGTGTTAGTATTCGGATTTGTTCAATGGACTAGGCTAAGCCACACGGTGAAAAAATCGTTTTTGAGGAACATTTTATCGCTCCCGAAAAGCGGAGTGGATGGCTGGGACGTGTGGTGAGAACTGCTGACTCCGGGCGTCTGGAACCGATAAATCGCCTGGATTTGAACGCGCCGCTCGATGCGCGGCCGGCAGCCGGCCGCTGTCGGCGGCAGCCGTCGACCAATCAGCGCGACGACAGCCGGCCGACGCGGCCCCAACTCGCCGTCAGTCGCGCCGTCGTCGCCGACGGCCGGCGTCGGTCAGACTGACTGGCCGCATCGTCGGTGCCGGCGGCGGACCTTGCCCGGGGATCTTGCCGCAGCCCGGCAGCACTCCAAAATTCGTCCCGCTGGGTGTCGGGGATGTCAATGTGCACTTATGCTTCCGGATGTATGGCTCCTCGGCGGCCTCCGCACTGACAGCATTTCGTCGGCTCCCCATCCGTTGCCCCTTGACCTCGAAGCGGGCGTTTCGACCTGCCCACCCGATTTGCCGAGCCCGAGGCGGCCAGGCGCTGCTTTCTCGACCGTCCGGCTCCATCCGGATTGGTCGATCCTGAGCGAGGGGAGGAGCGACAGACTGCGAACGCTGAGCGTTGGGTGCCGGTCACCGGCCAGCTACCGGCTGCCGGTCAGCGGTGGCGCGTCGGTGGAGGCGGCGTCGGTCCGCACTGCGCGCGGTCCGTGGCCCCGTGCCGCGCCTCGCGGCCGGGATTGATGCCTGTATTTAAGGGACGCGTTTCTGTGCAAGCGCTCCTTGACACCAGTATTCATGACTGTAGCATCCGACGCGCGCCAAATTGTTACCATGGGAGAAGATACGGGCCTGAGGCTCATTTGGTTTGAAACATGGCGCCGTTTGTCGGAATAACGTCGCCTCTCCACGGACCCGCGCTAACTGCTGCCCCGTCCTGCCCCGTCCTGCCCCGCCCTGCCCCGCCCTGCCTCGCCCTGCCCTGCCGTGGCCTGAGCTGACCTGACCTGCTTACCTTACCTGACCCGAAGTGACGCGGCGTCCACACCCGCAGGTGTTTGACCGCGAGGGCGACGACGGCAAGTTCGTCTCCGTGACGGTGAAGGCGATGGACAAGGGCAAGCCATCGCTGGAGGGCGTCTGCAGCTTCACGGTCGAGATCCTAGACGTCAACGACAACCCGCCACTGTTCGATCGACAGGTGCGACGCCGGAGGGCATGGGTGCCGCTTAAGCGGAATAACTCCACTGAAAATGGTCACGGGTGATTAGGGAGACGCCATCACGGCACCCATCATTTGCCGTCTACATGGCAGATACTGGGTTCGTGGGTTAAACAAAAGTCGTGCAGTAAAGATGTATATTGCCGTCGTTGGATGCTGTTTTTCTTGGGGGGGGGGGGTGGGGTCTGAGTGATGGGCAAGGGGGGAGTAGGTCTGAGTGATGAACAAAAGGGGGGGGGGGGCTGGGCGATGAACACCGCCGACGTGACCTCTAGGTGACGCACCTCACCGGCGGCCTGTCGCCTCGAGCCGTGTCGAGTGCCGCTGGTCGCTGGCCGAGTCGGGTCAGGCTGACGCACGCCGCTGTGTCACGCGACAGAAATACGTGGAGAACGTCAAGCAGGACACGCATATCGGCTTCAACATCCTACGCGTGTCGGCGTCGGACGAGGACGCCGACAACAACGGCGTCATCGTGTACAACCTGACGGCGCCCTACAACCCCAGCGACCTCGAGTACTTCTCCATCCAGCCCGACAGCGGCTGGATCACCCTGCAGAAACCGCTGGACGTAAGTGAAGCGGACGGCGGCGGGATGGGCCTCGGACGCTGGTGCGCCCAGGCGTCACCACGGCCCGGATGGGCCCCGCTTCCCCTTCCACGCTCCTTCCCAGTTCGCTACTGACCTGCCGTTCTCTTGTTTGACGTATGCCCGAGTCCTTCCCTCTTTCCGCTGTCTTCGTTCTTGTCAGTGTCCAGAAACGGAAGCCTTGTAAGTTGGGGTGGATTTCACACCTTTTCACCGTTGTCGGTGTAGTTTCCAAGTTCCAGCTCCGCGACCTCCGTTGGTTGAGTCTGGGACTCCTTTCCTGTTCTTATCCATTGGCTTTCTGGGGCAGAGCCATTGTCCCTCCCATCTCCAGTGGCATGTGTGCTATGTCATGTTTGAGGCGTACTGTTAACACAATGTCTGGTTGGTGTATTTGGTCCGATGCATAATGCGTAGTACACGCTAAGGCTTTGATAATCGGGTCGCTGTACCAGCCGTGGGTTAACGACACAGTTTCTGGTCCGTGCGCATCTGGTGTTGTGAGCGGTAACAGCCATTAATACGCGGTTTTGGGACAGTAACAGTCAGTAATGCACGGCTCTGGGGCGGTCCATCCGTCCGCGGCTGCTGAAGCCCGACGCTCGTTAACGGCGGACGCGGCCTTGTCTGGCCGGCACCACTCGGGTGACCTGAGCCGTCGGTGGCCGCGGGGGGTGGGCCGCCCCCGAGCGTGGCCGCCCGTCTGGACGCCGTAACCGTCGCTGTCGCCGCCGTCCACCGCCGCCCGACCCGGAGCGGCGCGTCGCCGCCGCCGGCGCGGCGGGACCCGTGGCGCCGCCCTGGCGGCCGGCATGGCATGGCATGCTCCGCCCATTTCGGCGCCGCTCGATCGTCGCGCGGCGCGCGCCTCTTGCCTGCGCCTGGCTCGGTCGCTCGGCACCGGCCGGCCGGGCGCCGGTCAGCTGGACTGGCTGGTTGATTGGTTGGCTGTCTGTCGGTGGTTGGCTGGTTGGTTGACGCGAGGCGCTGCTCCCCCCGGCCGGCGGCAGGGCTGCGTGAGTGCCGCGGCTCTGAGGCGCCCCCTGTAGGTACCGCACACGGATCCCAGCCGCACGTCCCCTCTCCGTGCAGCATGACGTCAGGAGCAGCGCCACAGCCGTCACAGAAGCGGCCGCGTGCATAGGAACCGCCGCTTGGTCGCTTTGGCTTGATGCATGGAGTGCTTGGCATGGGCTCATGGTTTCGTTACTAACGCCGGGTATCACTTCTTTGATGGATACATGTACACTGTCGATGCGTATGGAGATGTTGGCTTGTAGTACTCATTAGGCTTTTCCGCTATGTCTCGATGTAGAAATGTGAACTGGTAGACGGCTATTTCACTTCTTTTTGCTAGCATAGACGATTTCCTCACTGTATGTGCACACCCTTCGGCACGTTTGCGATACCTATCCCATCTCCCATGTAGTGACGCTCCCTGGATTGCGATCGTCAGAGAATTTCTGAAACCTGGTTTATTGGTCGCCATGCAACTTCAGAATGGGTTAGCGTAGATGATGCTCTTCAAAGAACTTTAAACACATTGAAGCTCCTTTCACGTGGCTTACAACTTAGATAAAGAAAGCCCCGCCTTCATTCCGATTGCGCCTTGAGGCTCCTGTATAGTTTTCGCTGTACTCGGCCTGCGATGAGCTGGTGCCCCTACGGGCGGAGATTCCAGCGTTGCATACCGCCCCCCCCCCCGCGCTGAACATTGCTTGTTTCAACGTAAGCACCCTCCTGAGAATGTTATCAGCCCGACCGATCCTAGGTGGCTCGCTGGCGGTCCGAGTGCGGGGCGAGTGGGTCAGAGCACCGTAACGACTTCCAGCTTGTTTTCCAAATGGGCCATCAGAGAAGCCGGAATTACTGGGACCTTTTACGATTGCTCGCTGGCCAACTTTTGTCATTGGAACATGCCTCCAGCTGTCCGTCACTTTATGACCGGTTTATCAAAGCAGCTGGGTGTTTTCCTAAACGAGCAGAAACCTCAAATTCAGAAGAACCTTACCAACTGCTTCCACCTACTTGACTCGGAAAGAGCCCGTGCTTAGGCCAAAATTGCGCTCAAAACGGAAACTCTTGGCGAAAAGACAGATGTAAAGTGATTTAGATGAGTATGCCGCCACTCTCTGCCAGGTGCACAAAAGATCGTTCTACGGCACGCCCAATCCGTGTAAAGCCCAACCGTCGTCACGACAGTCGTTACGTCACAAATGGAATCTACCTGCTCGGCCTGAAGAGGGGCGTGGCCAGTTTTACCCCGCCTCGGTCCGACAGCCGCCCCCTCCCCCCCCCCCGCCCCGCCTGTGTCTGCCGCATGTCCGTCAGCCGGTGTCTGTGTGCGCGAGAGCCGGCCGGTGTGCGCATGCGCGGCGGACTGACGCCGGGCCGCCTGCAGCGGAGTCAGCACAGGCTGCGCGTGACGGCCACCGACCGCGGCTTCCCGCCGCTCGCGTCCGAGGCCGAGGTGCAGCTGGGACGTGGTCGACCGCACCAACAACGCGCCCGTCTGGCCCGAGGACGTGTTTGGACCGATCCACGTGCCCGAGAACGTGACGGCCGGCCAGCGGGTGTACACCGTGAGCGCCAGGTGGGTGGTGAGGGTGCCGGCGGCGGCGGGCTGCGGCGCGCCCGTCCACTAACGCGCCGCCGCCGCCCTGTGCGTGTCGTCCGGGCAGCGCGAGACGTACCGGCTGACGGCGACGGCCGAGGACCGCGGCTACCCGCCGCTCTCGCGCACCGTCGACGTCCAGATCGACGTGGTGGACCGGGCCAACAACCCGCCCAAGTGGGACCAGATCGTCTACGGGCCCATCTTCATCCCCGAGGACAAGCCGGTCGGCTCGAGGGTCGCGCTGGTCAAGGCCAGGTCGGGCTGAGCGAGTGACGCCGGCACGTGCATGCCCCGCAGCGGCGCACTAACGCACGCGCCGCCGCGCCGCATGTCACCGTGTGCACCCCGGCCACTGCGGCTGCTCGCTGGGATGGAGGAGCGAGGACACCGCGGCTCGGTCGGTGCCCGCGCCCTCGGTGTTGTCGGTGCTCAAAATTGGCCTGGCGGTAGTTTTCGGTTTCGTGTGTTTGGGTCCCGGTCTGAAGGTACGCTGCTGCGAGTTGCTTTGTTCGGTGTTTTTTTCATGTCGGCGATATTTTTGTTTGTGCAATTTGGCGCATATCTTGTTTGAGTACAATGTCGCAGTGAACGTTTTGGGAATGCTCCCGGTCCCGCCAGTCCCGGAGACCGTCCCGTGACTGCCCCCGTTATTCGTCCTCTCGTGTTGTCGGAGCTAGACTCGGTCGGCTTTTCCCTGCGTTTTTCTCGGTGTGGCCTGCCCGCTGCAGTGCGTCGTGTCGCTCGGCCGGCCGGTGGGGCGGCAGCCTAGTGTCGACTCCGCCGGTGGTCGAGCCGCCCGTCTGTCCCGCGCCAACGCGATCGACAGTCGTCGCTCGTGTCGGCATCCGGACGGGGCGGTCGGTCGAGTCCGGCGATCGAGGGACCCGGTCTCACGACCCGTCTCAGACGCTCTCGCGGGACCGAGCGGCCGAGACGAGGCCGCCCGGTCCGCGGTACACGCTCTGACGCGGCGCCGGCCCTCACGACACGGCAGCACGCCGCCCCAGGCACGGCATGGGCCCGCCCGCCTCTGATATGACGCGCCCCGCGAGCGCACGCCTCCGATTCACAGGTGCACCTGCTGACGGCGCGTCTGCATGGTGTAGCTCGGCATCAGTGCATGAACAGAGGGCGACCCGACCGGCACCGCGCCTGCGTGCCGGACTCTTGCTCGTCCCACCTGCCCGCCTGGTGTTCTGTTGCCTGCCGGTGGTGTGACGTGCATTTTGCCAAGTGTTGGTGTTGCTGTTCGTTGTTGTAGAGTGGCAGATTTGAGTGCGATGCGCCCGCACGGGCTGCGCAGCTAAGAACGTACGTGCTGTCTGTATTCTCTCCTCCGCGTGGTGTGTTTCGACCAGTCATTTCGGCAGAACGCGGCCGTGTTCGCAAGGCGGCGCGTTCATGACCATGCTGCGCTGTCGCTTACGGTGCGTGCTGCGCGCGGGACCGCGCCGTCCGCTCCTCCCCGCTGACTCTGCCGCCGGCGCCGCCCTCAGCTCCGGCATCGCCAACAACCCGACCGTCTTCTACCAGCTGATCCGCGGCAGCACGGCCCAGACGAACAAGTACGACACGTTCTACCTGCAGGAGCGCTCGATGAACGGCGAGACGTTCGCTGACATTCAGGTCAACCAGCCGCTCGACTACGAGACCATCAAGGAGTACAACCTCACCATCCGCGTGGAGGTGAGCGGCCAGGGCGGCTGCGCCGCCGCACGGGGCGCCGCACTGCTGGGTAGGGATGGCAGCCGGATGACGTGTGTGGGGGATAAGGTCGCGGGCGTGACCCGGGTTTGCGGCTGGCGCTACGGCCAGGGTTGGTCGGATAGGCCGGCAGGGATCAGGCGTTCAAGGCATGGCATTGGCGCTCTGTTGGAGCTGGGGTTGACGAGCACGTGTCCGTTTCTTGTGTCCATTTGAGGAAGGCAACCCATTGCTTTGGACCGACCAGCTTGCCGTGAGCTACCGTCGTCTCCCGGGGATCAGTCGCCACGTCGTCATCGTTGGCGGCGGCGGCTGCCCGCGGTGACTCGTCATTGGCGACGGTCGCCGTGATGGTCTCAGCGGCCGCCAGCCAGCTGTGGCCGCGGCGCGGCTGGTGCGGCCGGCCATAGCCGCTGCCGTGACCTGACCGTGCCGCTGTCGCCGCTGCCGTGGCCTGACCGTGCCGGCTGTCGCCGCTGTCGTGACCTGACCGTGCCCGTGCGTCGGCAGAACAACGGAGCGCAGCAGCTGGCATCCGAGGCCACCATCTACATCGTGCTGGACGACGTGAACGACGAGATCCCGCTGTTCACGGAGCGCGAGCAGGAGACTGTGCTGGAGTGCGAGCCGGCCGGCACCAAGGTCACCCAGGTCAACGCCATCGACAAGGACGGAACGTTCCCCAACAAACAGGTGGGAAGAAGGCGTGCCCACGACAGCTATTGCTGGGAGAGGGTGGTGACCATCTCTTTACCAACTGGCCTTTGACGTACCTAATCATTTTGATAATCTGACGCCTGTGGGGGCTCTGCTACTGTAATCTCAGCTAGGAGAGGGTCCCTACCATTACCATGCGACGGTTTCATCGTCGGCCACGCATTGCCAAACTCGATGGCGCGAAGTGCCAGCAGGGCCACGTCAGTGCCAGCAGGGCCACGTCAGTGCCAGCAGGGCCACGTCAGTGCCAGCAGGGCCACGTCAGGGTCACGTCGGGAAGGCTCACGGCGAGCCGATCCTTGTCGCTTCATGTTCTCGACGCTGCGGTGATGTTCGCCGGCGACGGCTCCTGGTGAGGTGCCGCGGCGAGCGAGCGGTGTCGATGGCTCGGCGCGAGGCGAGCCGCCCGCCCGCGGAGCCCCGCTGACCTCCGCCGGTGATGTCCGGCGCGCAGGTCTACTACGCCATCATTGACTCGCCGCGCAACGAGGGCAAGGACTTCTTCGAGATCAACGAGCACACGGGCGAGGTGTTCACCAAGGTGACGTTCGACCGCGAGGAGAAGCAGGCGTACGCGCTGGAGGTGGCGGCCCGCGACGGCGCGCCCTCCTCGCGCCGCCACTCGGACGGCAAGCCGAACACAGGTCAGTGGGTCAGTCGGCGCAGGTCAGAACACAGGTCGGTCGGTCGGTCGGCGCAGGTCAGTCGGTTAGTCGGTTCAGGTCAGAACACAGGCTAGTCGGTCGGTCGGCGCAGGTCAGAACACAGGATTGTCGGTCAGTCGGTGCAGGTCAGAACACAGGTCAGTCGGTCAGTCGGCGCAGGTCAGAACACAGGTCAGTCGGTCAGTCGGCGCAGGTCAGAACACAGGTCAGTCGGTCAGCCGGCGCAGGCCAGAACACAGGTCAGTCGGTGGGGCGCGGCGGCCGTGCGCAGCGGGTCGGGACTGGGCTCCGTACTGGCACGCTAGCACACTGTGTGTGCGGCTGCCTATGGCGGGGCTGGCTGTCCCCACGTGTCGTGGCAGCTGACGAGTGGTAGCTGACAGGGTGGTTGTGTTTGAGGTCGGTGTTAGTCCGGCTGCCCGGCGGGAGCTGGGGGCGCGAGAGGTCGTCTCCACAGTGAGGTCAGGTGGCGGCTGTGTGGCAGGATGTGTTCACGATTAGCGGGGGTGTGTCAGTGGCCTGTGCCTGTGGGCGTAACGTGTCCGTGCCCATCTCCCGAAGCACCACTTGTGACGTGTCCGGACTGTGGAGCTGTTCCAGTGTGCCACAGAACAGACCCGGCCAACGCGGCGCGAGCCCCGCTGTGCTGACCCGGCTGAACCCTGCTGAGCTAACTGTGCTGACTGTACTGACCCGGCAGCGTTCTACCGAGCTGACTAGGCTGAGCCCACTGTGCTGACCCGTCTGAACCCTGCTGTGCTGACTTTGCTGACCCGGCAGCGTTCTACCGAGCTGACTAGGTTGAGCCCACTGTGCTGACCCGTCTGAGCCCTGCTGAGCTGACTGTGCCGACTGCGCTTACTTTGCTGACCGGCAGCATTCTACCGAGCTGACTCAGCCGAGCCCACTATGCTGACCCGTCTGAGCCCTGCTGAGCTGACTGTGCCGACTGTGCTGACCCGGCAGCGTCCTACCGAGCTGACTAGGCTGAGCCCACTGTGCTGACCTGGCTGAACCCTGCTGAGCTGACTGTGCTGACCCGTCGCCCCGCAGTGACCAAGTTCATTCGGATCGGCATCTCGGACAAGAACGACAACCCGCCGTACTTCGACAAGCGGCTGTACGAGGCCGAGGTGGACGAGAACGAGGACATCCAGCACATCGTGCTCACCGTCGTCGCCAAGGACATAGACGAGTGTGAGTAGGGCGCGCTGCTCTGGCACGCGGCAAGCGAGCCGGCCGCGGCGCGCCCTCCCAGCGTCGGCAGATCCCGGCTGTCGGCTTCGTCTTGCTCCAGCTAGGAGATACAGTCCTCCACTCGCCGCTCTGTGCTGGCAGGATGGAGGAAAAATGTCAGCTCAGATGTGGCTCGTGACGTCAATGAATGAAATGAAGCCGGCAGTGAGGTAGCGCTCCCGTCCCCCGCCCCCCCCCCCCCCCCCCCCCGCCCGCTCCCACAGAGTTTCACCACAATAGCAAGTGCTACAACTGTAGCATCTTTTGCAGTGATTAAGCCTCAAATGTTTGCTTTTCTGACGACTTGCGAGTCGTCGACACCAACTGTTGACCCAAACAAGCCATCCCTCGCCCGCCCAGCACACCCCCTGGACGCCGCGCGACCGGCCGCTGTCGGCTCGAGCCTGGTGTGCGCTGCACCCGTGCGGCAGCGTTAACTCGCGCGCCCGTGCCGCAGCCTCGCGGATCCGGTACGAGCTGACGCGGGGCAACGTGGGCGGGGCGTTCGGCGTCAAGAACAGCACCGGCGCCATCTTCGTGGCCGGCCCGCTCGACTACGAGACCAGGAACCGGGTGAGGCGCGCGGAACGGCGCCTCGGGTCGCTCCCGGCCCCGCCCGGCCCCGCCCGGGCAGGGGCGGGGAGGCTCCGCGCGGCGCCGGCGGCTGGAGAGTGCGGCATGCAGTCGCTTGGAGAGCCAGGCGTTGTGCCGGTGACTTCTCACGGTTACGTTGCGATCCGACTGTTCTCTTGTCGGATCTACGCACGGCGTCGGCAGTCAGTCTGCTTCATGCGAGCGTATGGCGCTATGCTTTCTTGGCTAATACGTAAGCGAACTCCAGCAAACTGCGACTTATTGTCTCGTTGTTTGTCAAACAGCCGGCTGCCGCAGAGCATTCTCACCCACCTGTCTTGTTTCCTTGCTGGTGGCGGATGAGAACCACTACGTGCTCGACCCGCGTGGACGACTCCCCCTACATAGTTCGCCTGCCAAGGCGCGCCTGCCAGCGCCGCATCGGCAGTGAACGGAGCGTCTGACGCGCCTTCCGCCCCGCCCGCAGTACGAGCTACGGCTGGTGGCGTCCGACAACCTGAACGAGAACTTCACGGACGTGGTGATCCACGTGCGGGACGTGAACGACAACCCGCCGCAGTTCGACAAGCCCGTGTATCAGGCGCAGATCACCGAGGAGGACGACCGCGGCCTGCCCAAGCTCATCCTGCAGGTGAGGCGGCGCCACCGGCGTCAGACGCTCGTAGGACGGGGCGGTCAGTCGCCGTGGGGATCAGACGCTCGTAGGACGGGGCGGTCAGTCGCCGCGGGGGTCAGACGCTCGGAGGACGGGGCGGTCAGTCGCCGCGGGGGTCAGACGCTCGGAGGACGGGGCGGTCAGTCGCCGTGGGGACCAGACGCGGTGGAGGACGGGGCGGTCAGTCGCCGTGGGGATCAGACGCTCGTAGGACGGGGCGGTCAGTCGCCGCGGGGGTCAGACGCTCGTAGGACGGGGCGGTCAGTCGCCGTGGGGACCAGACGCGGTGGAGGACGGGGCGGTCAGTCGCCGTGGGGATCAGACGCTCGGAGGACGGGGCGGTCAGTCGCCGCGGGGGTCAGACGCTCGGAGGACCGGGCGGTCAGTCGCCGTGGGGATCAGACGCTCGGAGGACGGGGCGGTCAGTCGCCGCGGGGGTCAGACGCTCGGAGGACCGGGCGGTCAGTCGCCGCGGGGGTCAGACGCTCGTAGGACGGGGCGGTCAGTCGCCGTGGGGACCAGACGCGGTGGAGGACGGGGCGGTCAGTCGCCGCGGGGGTCAGACGCTCGGAGGACGGGGCGGTCAGTCGCCGCGGGGGTCAGACGCTCGGAGGACCGGGCGGTCAGTCGCCGTGGGGATCAGACGCTCGGAGGACGGGGCGGTCAGTCGCCGCGGGGGTCAGACGCTCGGAGGACCGGGCGGTCAGTCGCCGCGGGGGTCAGACGCTCGGAGGGCCGGGCGGTCAGTCGCCGTTAGGATCAGACGCGGCGGACGGAGGCTCGAGAGGGGTCGCTGCGACCTCGCGCGGGGCGTGTGCTGCGCGCGGCGCGGTCCCGCACTGAAGGTCAGGGCAAATAGGAGCTCCTCCGCTGAAGGTCTGGTGCTCAGACCCGCTGACGCACGTAACGGTGACGGTCGGGCCAGGCGCTCGTTTGTGCGCGATCTCAGCCGCCGGCCGGCAGCGGCAGTGTGTGTGTGGCAGTGTGTGTGTCGCCCTCCCCCCTGCGCGGTTCGGCTGACGGCCCCCCCCCCCGCTCGTGCAGGTGACGGCGAAGGACAAGGACGTGGAGCGGCCTGCTGACATCGTCTACTTCCTGACGGGCCAGGGCATTGACCAGCACCACCCGCGCAACTCCATGTTCACCGTTAACAAGACGTCCGGCGAGATATTCGTCACGAAGGTGAGCGGGCGGGGTTGGGGACCGCGCCGAGGTGCTGACCTCGAGCGCGATGGTCGGCCGAAGGCGCGCCTGGATAGGCCCGGTCACGTGACCGAGACGGGGGTGGTGTCGCCCAGCGCTCGCTGTTTTTCGTGTGGTTCCGTCGTTGCGTCGCAGTTATCTAGGCTGCCGCGAGCTCACGCGGTGCTGTTGTGTTTGGTTACCGGGTTGTTTGCAGTCTTCACCAAGCGCTGGTCTTGCGTCACCGGTGCGCCAAATAGCCAAAGTACTCCACTCGTTCCAAAGCTCCGAAAGTTTTCAAGCCCCCCCCCCTCTCCCCCCGTTTTACGTTGTTCGCGCGGTTAGCTTTTGACCGTTCCCGCCTTCGCTGCGTCTCTGCGACCTGATCTGACCTGACCTGACCTGCGTCCGCAGCCGCTGGACCGGGACATGCCCAACGGCCGGCCCAAGTGGCGCTTCACCGTGTTCGCCCAGGACGAGGGCGGTGACGGGCTGGTGGGGGTACGCCGAGGTCCAGGTCAACCTCAAGGACATCAACGACAACGCGCCCATCTTCCCCAAGGGCATCTACCGCGGCAACGTGACCGAGAACGGCACCAAAGGTCGGCACGTGCGCCGGGCGCCGGGAGGGAGGAGGGGGAGGGGCGGCGGGACTGGCGGGAGGCAGGAGGCAGGAGCGGGAGGACGTGGGAGCGGCGAGACTGGTTGCGGAGCAGGATTTGCGTTGATAGTGGCTTCATGTCGGGGAGCGGATTCAGTGGAGTGGTTCAGCTCGTGGTGGAAAAGAGCGACGGACACTGCGATGATTCGTGGGCCGGCAATAGTCGGGGACTGTATGTGAGGAAACAGGTGCCGGAGGAGGCTCGTCTGCCTGCGAGGAGTCGGCGTCATGACGTGACCAGGGGGGTTCGAACCCTCCCCGCCCACCGTCCGGGTGTCGGAGAGCGTCTCCAAACCGCACCGCCTCCGTGTCACCGACAGAGATGATGGTGATGACCATGACGGCCGAGGACTACGACGATCCGGAGGAGGGCAGCAACGCCAAGCTAGCCTACAGCATCGAGAAGAACGTGGTGGACGAGTCGTTCGGCAAGCCGATCTTCGCCATCGAGCCGGACACGGGCGTGATTCGGACCAACGTGTGCTGTCTGGACCGCGAGAAGACGCCAGAGTACAGCATCCAGGTGGTGGCCATGGACGGAGGCGGCCTCAAGGGTGAGTGTGCTCGCGGGCTCGCGGAGCGCGGCGGCCGCGACGCGGGCAGGTCCGGGGGCCGCGGAGTGGAGGGATAGGTGCGTGGGGAAGGCGAAGGAGGCCGCGGGGAGCGGCGCGCGCCGGAAGTTGATCTGTTTACAGGAATGTTTGGCGCGGGGGATTTAAGAGGTTATGCGCTCACCAATCGACCGTGTGGTCGATTGGTCGCGGACCGTGTGGACCTTGGGTCGCGGGTCGCTGCTGTGTCATTCTGCACGGATGGCCGTGTGCGGAGTGGGCCAGCGCGAGCCCAAGCGCCTGCGACTCTGCGCAGCCGACGGTCGCTGCTACGCAAGCGGCCGTCCGTCGGCGGAGAGGACCGGCGTGAGCCCGAGCCCCTGCGGCTCGGCGCTGCCGACGGTCGCTGCTACGCAAGCGGCCGGCCGTCGGCGGAGAGGCCCAGCGCGAGCCCGAGCCCACCGCAGCTCGGCACTGCCAACAGCCGCTTGCGTGGGCGGCCGGCCGTCGCGAATCGTCGGCTGACCTTGACCTGCTCCCGTAGGCACGGGCACGGCGGTGATCCACGTGCGTGACATCAACGACATGCCGCCGCGGTTCAGCAAGTCGGTCTGGAACACGACCGTCGACGAGACGGACGGCGACGACCTGCCGGACAAGGCCATCCTCACCGTGACCGTGCTGGACGAGGACGAGACCAACAAGTTCCACTACCGGGTGAGCGCCAACGCCGTGCCGGTGCATCGCGCGTGGTGGGGGTCTGGGCTGTGGGGGATACGCTACGTTAACGCTAGGCCGTACTTCGTGGCTGCGGGCAGCGTAGAGAATACACCACTGGATGGGGCTGAGCCGTAGTGGATAGCGGGTGAGCACTACTGGTTTGTGGGATACTTTACGTTGGCGGGTGAATACACTACGGGTGGTGCACCGGGCGAGCCGTCGTGCGTGTGAACAACCGCGACATTACCAGCCTGCAGCCCGCTGCAACGATTACAATGTTCAGCCATCTCTGAATACATCTGGGTGTCGGAGAGGGCGCCCAGTCTCGTCGGGGGCCCTCTCTGGTGCCATACCGGCGCCAGTGGTGGGCGTGGGAGGGCCCGTGAACCCTGACGTCGGCGTGGGGCCGGCCGGGCTCTGACCTGTCGGCACCCGCCCGCCAGGTTCTGGAGAAGACCGGCTACGGTGCCGACAAGTTCACCATGGTCCGCAACAGCGACGACACGGGCTCCCTCAAGATCGTGCAGCCGCTCGACTACGAGAATGACAACGACCGCAGGGGCTTTACCTTCGAGATCCAGGTGCGATGGGGCTCCGGCCCGGCCGTCGGGCGCTGCTCCTTGCAGTGCCCTGTGACCGGTGGCGGGACGCCGGTTGAGTTTTGGATGGTGGCGTGGCGACGGGGCTGGTCACCTGTGGTCGACGGGGCTGGTCACCTGCGGTCGGTTTCGTGCCGCGTTTTCCGCTCAAGGCTGTGTGTGTGAACTTGATTTGGTCGGTCGTCAGAGAACCGCTCAGCATCTGTGCCGGGAGGTGGGATCAGGTAAGCAATAAGAGGGTGTCAGAAGGGCTGGAGCAGCAGTCGTCTTCTCAGCACCAAGTGCCGAATGGCATGGGCAGTCCCCTAAAAACAGGCAGCCGGCCGATGAGAAGCGGGGTGCGTCTGACACAGCGCCCGATGCGCCAGGTGAACGACAAGGGCGAGGACCAGGGCGACGCCAACCACGTGGCGCGCGCGACCGTGCACGTCAAACTGCGCGACATCAATGACAACCGGCCCATCTTCGACCGGCCCAACATTGAGGTAGGCGGGAGGCGGCCTTCTTCAGGGCGTGACGACTTCTGGCAGGCAGAGGCTCGGCGGCAGTCGTGGCCGAGTGGTTAAGGCGTTGGACTCGAAATCCAATGGGGTCTCCCCGCACAGGTTCGAATCCTGTCGGCTGCGAAACTTTATGTCCTCCGTCACTTCGGAGCTTTTTCCAGTTGTTCAGACGAGTTTGTTAGCGCACATCCACAGAACACAGTGGGCTTCTCAACGCATCCCACTTTTATTAATGCTTACGCGTTCCTTTCTTTTTGATACTCACGCGTCCCTTGAGCCCTCTTCGTGAATCTGCTGATCACCCCACTGACTTGGTGTCCCCCCCCCCCCGCTGTTCCATTTGCGTTCTGTCGGCTTGTTCGGTACTCTCGCTGCCGTGCGTGCATTATCGACTGACGTTCCCCCCACCCCCCACCCCCCACGCAGGTGCACGTCAAGGAGGACACCACCGTTGGCACGAGCTTGGAGACGTTCCACGCCACGGACCCCGACCAGGGCGGCCGCAGCAAGGTGTCGTACGCCATCGACCGCGAGTCGGACCGCAAGCGCCAGTTCACCATCAACGGCGCCGGCACCGTCTCCATCCAGGTGAGCCGCCTCGGCGGCCGCGGACCGGTGGTGTGGCGTGACCGGCGGTCGCGCCGCCGCCGGTTTGTTTGTGTCCCGGATGCTGCTGAGGCGGACAAATAGCCTGGCTCGTGGAGTCGCCATCTGAAAGGTCCTTTGTGCACCAATCGCTGCGAATCATCTCATAGGGCGTATTAGAAGCCACTATGCCGTCGCTTTGCATCTGAGAACCTTTGCACTACGGACTGTCCTCTGAGAACCTTTGCACAACGGACTGTCCTCTGAGAACCTTTGCATAACGGACTGTCCTCTGAGAACCTTTGCACAACGGACTGTCCTCTGAGAACCTTTGCACTACGGACTGTCCTCTGAGAACCTTTGCACTACGGACTGTCCTCTGAGAACCTTCGCACTACGGACTGTCCTTTGAGAACCTTTGCACTACGGACTATCCTTTGAGAACCTTTGCACTACGGACTGTCCTCTGAAGACCTTTGCATTACGGACTGTCCTCTGAGAACCTTTGCACTGCGCATTGTCCCATGACTGCCCACCAGCGCGCGTCCGCGCGCCCTGAGTTCCCCGCCACGGCGCCAGCCGCGCGGCGTCGCTGACCGCCGCGCCGCCGTTGCAGCGTGGCCTGGACCGCGAGGAGGTGCCGCGGCACCATGTCAAGATCCTGGCCATCGACGACGGCGCGCCGCCCAAAACAGCCACCGCCACACTCACCGTCATAGTGGACGACCGTCAATGATAACGCGCCCACCTTCCTGGACGTAAGCCCGCCGGCGGAGGCCACGCGACGGTCGGGGGTGGGGTGGAGCGGCACGCGGGCAGAAGTCCCCGAGGCATTGTTCCTGTTCGGTTGGCTTGCCGATGGTGGAGCCCTGGGAGAGGAGGATTCGTTCTGTTATCCTTGATTGGTACTTACCTGGGTGTGTTGTTCATGCTGAATGTTCTGCGGTTTCGGAAGCGCTGGTAGGCATGCACCGCTCAAAGGGCTCCTGACAGCGTCTTGGTTTGAGTGGGCGACGGCATAGCCAAAACCAGAATGTGTTGTTTTCTGATTGCTTTAATAGTATTCTACTGTCATCACAATTTCCCCGGAACGTGACTTTTTCCGTCTGTGGCAGAGGCATGGTTCTGTGTGAACATTGCGGCAGTATTGTGACCTGGCGGCCAGCGCAGCTCATCCGAGCCGGCCGGCGGCGGCGGCGTGACCCGACGCTGACCCCCGTGTGACCGTGTGACCGGCAGCGGACTACCGGCCCGTGCTGATGGAGAACGTGGCGCCGCGGGAGGTGGCCGAGATCATGGCGGCCGACGCCGACGACCGCAGCAGTCGCAACGGGCCGCCGTTTACGTTCAAGATGGACCCGCGCGCCGACGACATCATTCGCTCTGGCTTCCGCGTCGAGCACGACCCCAGTGAGTTGGCCCCGGACTCGAGTCAGCCCCTCGACTCGAGTCAGTCGTCCAGGTCCTCAGTCCTCCAGGCTTGAAACGCGGGGTCCAGTGAGTCCCCGGCCTTAGCTCTGAAACGCGGCTCCAGTGAGTCCCCGGCCTTAGCTCTGAGACGCGGCTCCAGTGAGTCCCCGGCCTTAGCTTTGAAATGCGGCTCCAGTGGGTCCCCGGCCTTAGCTTTGAAACGCGGCCCAGTGGGTCCCCGGCCTTAGCTTTGAAACGCGGCCCAGTGGGTCCCCGGCCTTAGCTTTGAAACGCGGCTCCAGTGAGTCCCCGGCCTTAGCTTTGAAATGCAGCCCAGTGGACCAGCATGAGACGCATAGGGCTGCGTTTCGGAACCCTGGTTCTCCTCGAAGTCGGTAAGTGGACCTGGTATTCATTAAGCGCATCACCCGCCGGCGCCCGCCGTATTCTCTGCAGGTTGAGCGGCATGTTTCAGTCCCGGCTCCAACCGCGCTCCTGTGCGGTTCGCTACCGCCCGGGCGCGGCCGGACGCGGCGAGACGAACCGGGTCCGTGTGCAGCGGGGCCCGGCGAGACGGACCGGGTCCGTGTGCAGCGGGACTGGGCAAGACGGGCCGGGCCCGTGTGCAGCGGGGCTCGGCGGGACGGACCGGGTCCGTGTGCAGCGGGGCTCGGCGGGACGGACCGGGCCCGTGTGCAGCGGGGCTCGGCGAGACGGACGGGTCCGTGTGCAGCGGGGCTCGGCAAGACGGACCGGGTCCGTGTGCAGCGGGGCCCGGCGAGACGGACCGGGTCCCGTGTGCAGCGGGGCCTCGGCGGGACGGACCGGGCCCGTGTGCAGCGGGGCTCGGCGGGACGGACCGGGCCCGTGTGCAGCGGGGCCCGGCGGGACGGACCGGGCCCGTGTGCAGCGGGGCTCGGCGGGACGGACCGGGCCCGTGTACAGCGGGGCCCGGCGAGACGGACCGGAGCTCGACCGACTGACAGTCGCCGCCTCTCTCCCGCAGCGGGCAACAACGGCGACGGCATGGCCGTAGTGCGCTCGCTCAAGTCCTTCGACCGCGAGGAGCGCGGAGGAGTACCACGTGCCGATCGTGATCAGGGACGCCGGCGCGCCGCCGCTGTCCGGCACCTCGACCCTCACCGTCATCATCGGGGACGTCAACGACAACAAGATGTACCCCGGCAGCAAGGAGGTGTTCGTCTACAACTACAAGGTGAGCTGGCAGCCAGTGGGCTCGCGTTGAACGCCGGTGTCGCCGCTGGCGTGTCGCCAGACGCGGTTGTAGTGCAGTGAGAGGCCTTGTCTGGCACACTGGGAGTCATGACCGCAATACGATTGCTAACGGCCAAGCAGTGTCGGTGGCAAGGCACACTTGTTACAACATGTCGGAGCCCGGCAGCTTGTGGGTGTCAGGGTGTGTCGATGCCCTCGCCGCTCCCCTGGCGAGGGAGAGACGGGCCGTCCCTCTCCGCGCCGCCCTCGGACGCCCGCGGCGCGTCGCGTCTCGCCCGCCCCCGACCTCCGTCCGCCCTGACCCCGGCGGCCGCCGCAGGGCATGAACCCGGACGTGGCCGTCGGCCGGGTGCACGTCACCGACAAGGACGACTGGGGACCTGCCCGACAAGACGTTCTTCTGGGCCGGCGAAGAGCACCGCTCGTTCCGGCTGGACGAGGAGACGGGCATGATCACCATGCTGCGCGGCACACTCGAGGGACGCTACTTCCTGCGCTTCCACGTGTTCGACCGCAAGCACACGCAGCGTGACATTGACGTGAGTCGGTCGCCCGGCGAGGGCCGGCGTGTGGGCATGTGTGGTGTGTGCGTGCGCCTTATTGGCTGAGATGCGAACGAGGGAGGGGGGCTTATCATCCGCATGGCCCACTATGTCTGTCATTATGTAAGACACACAAGTGGTGCTGATCAGACCAGACCACGAAAATTGTATATTGTTAAGGGAGTAGTACGGTAGATGACAGCACTGCCCAATGGGATGACTTGGGTCGGTACGTGGAGCTCATGGCGAATTTGGTTAAGCTGGCGAGCCCGGCGCCGCCGTCGAAGCTCGATCGTACCCGAGCGCTGACGCGGAGCGTGCCGAGTCTGCTCGGGCCTGTGGCCAGGCGCCAGTCGGCGGTGGCGGCCGTCAGTGGGCCTGGCCGGCTGAGGGAGCCAGCTGTGGCGCCGGGCCTCAGCCCGCTCCAGCGCGCTGACAGCCGGTGCTGCCGCTCTGGCCTCTAAAGGGAGAGGGGGCGGCCGGCAGCGGCGGCAGGCGGTCGCCGCGCGCTGACAGCCGCTCGGCGCGCGCTGCTGTCCGCAGGCGAACGTGACGGTGGTGGTGCAGAACCTGCCGGAGGAGGCCGTGCTGAACTCGGGCTCGGTGCGCATCGCCGGCCTCTCCGACGAGGACTTCATCCGCATATTGGACGAACAGACGGGCACCGTCAAGAAGAGCCGCCTGGAGATGTTCAGAGAGGTGGGACAGGCGCGGCGCCGCGCGGGTCGGGCGCTGGATGGGCACCGACCGGCTTTGTCGTGGCGGGAGTTGCGCTAGTATGACGTCATCCTGAGCTCGCCAGCTCCTTTGGCGCCATTCAGCGCTCTGTCTGCCTATCACCCGCGCGCGGGCTTGCTGCCAGTGGTACGTCGACGGTTTCGGTGTTTTGAGCTGTATCTCACACTCGCGAGCATCCTTTGACCGGGTTGTACGAGGCCTGAACTGAGCTGAAACGGTATATGAGCTGGTGACGCGGCCTGACGACCGCCGGCGTCACCTGGGGTGGCCGGTGTGCTGTCCGACTGCCCGACCTGACCTGACCTGGCCTGACCTGGCCCCGCCTCCCCGTCAGGTGGTGGCCGGTCTGGTGGGCACGGCGGTGGAGAACGTGGACGTGTTCTCGGTGCAGCTGAAGCGGGAGCGCCCGCCCATCATCGACGTCCGCTACTCGGCGCACGGCTCGCCCTACTACAAGGCGGTCATGCTCGACGGCATACTGTTCACCAACCGGCAGAAGGTGGGCTCCGGGGGGACGCGCCGACCGGCCACGGGCAGAAGGTGGGCTACGGGGGACGCGCCCATCGGCCACGGGCAGAAGATGGGCTCCGGGGGACGCGCCGACCGGCCAAGGGCAGAAGGTGGGGCCGGCGCCGTCCGGCAGAAGGTGGGCTCCGGGGGACGCGCCGATCGGCCATGGGCAGAAGGTGGGCTCCGGGGAACGCGCCGGTCGGCCACGGGCAGGAGGTGGGGCCGGCGCCGTCGCCCAGGTCGTCACCGGTGGTGTGGGTGCTGCCTCGGACGGCGGTCTGTGGCGAGGATCAGCTGGCGGAGCGTCGCGCCGACCAGGGGTGACGGCGTGAGCGCCGCGCCGATCAGGGGTGACGGCGTGAGCGCCGCGTCGACCAGGGGGACGGCGTGAGCGCCGCGCCAACCGGGGGTTGGACGGCGTGAGCGCCGCGCCGATCAGGGGTGACGGCGTGAGCGCCGCCGCGCGATCAGGGTTGACGGCGTGAGCGCCGCGCGATCAGGGGTGACGGCGTGAGCGCCGCGTCGACCAGGGGGACGGCGTGAGGCCGCGCCAACCGGGGTGGACGGCGTGAGCGCCGCGCGATCAGGGGTGACGGCGTGAGCGCCGCGCCGATCAGGGGTGACGGCGTGAGCGCCGCGCCGACAGGGGTGACGGCGTGAGCGCCGCGCCGACCAGGGGTGACGGCGTGAGCGCCGCGTCGACCAGGGGTGACGGCGTGAGCGCCCGCCCGCGACCAAGGGGTGACGGCGTGAGCGCCGCGCCGACCAGGGGTGACGGCGTGAGCGTCGCGCCGACAGGGGGACGACGGCGTGAGCGCCGCACCGATCAGGGGTGACGGCGTGAGCGCCGCACCGATCAGGGGTGACGGCGTGAGCGCCGCGCCGATCAGGGGTGACGGCGTGAGCGCCGCGCCGACCAGGGGTGACGGCGTGAGCGCCGCGTGACGACCCCGGCCGTCCTGTCGCGGCTCAGCCGTGGTGCGGCCGCTCCGCTGGTCGGCGTTCTCTGAGTGGCCGCTCCTGCCTCAGGTGGAGGAGGAGGTGGGCATCAACATCACCATGATTGGGATCGATGAGTGCCTCTACGAGAACGTCAACTGTGAGGGAAGCTGCACCAACAACCTCGTCATCTCCAGCGTACCGTACCTGATCAACGCCAACAAGACGTCGATGGTCGGCGTGCGCACGGAGGTCAGTCCGCGGAGCGAGGAGCTGCGTGGGCTGAACTAACTCCTTCAACTCGGATTTCCAAGCTGTTTCTCCACTCCTGAAAAACCCACGTGTTTACTCCGTTGTAGCTGTTTAGGTCGACGATGTGACGCATTCTTTTACATCCTAACCCTTGCGCCTTTGCCAAATCCTCGATTCACCTCAGCGTGCTCTTGGGATGCGTGATGTGACTCTAGCTTGTGCGAACGCGATGCCTCGAATGCGGTTATTTGCGGGCGGTATGTTCCGCGGCTGCGGCGGTCCGCTGAGCAGGCGTTGGTGCCCCTCCAGACCATGTGCAGCTGCAGTCAGACGCCGTGCGATGTGCGACGGTGCGCCGTCGTGCCCGCGCACCAGTGCGACGGTGCGCCGTCGTGCCAGCGTTCTTGTGACTGGCCCCGCGCGTGCGGCCGCGGCCCCGGCCGGCCGTGCTGACCGGAGCCGGCGTGTCGCGCAGGTGGTGCCCGAGTGTACGTGCCAGGCGCGCAACTTCAGCCAGGAGGAGTCATGCGCCGGCACGGCGTGCCTGAACGGCGGCAAGTGTGTGCAGCAGCGCGAGGGCGGCATCAAGTGAGTCAGGGACGGGGCAGGCGCGGCCGCCGCCGCGGCGCCGGGTGGGCGGCGGACGCCGGCAAACAGAGCTCGCCGAGGTCCAGTGCGGGAGGCGGGCAAGCCCAGCCGGCGCCCGCGGCTGGTGTACAGCTGGTGGCTCTCAGAGCCGGCCGGCTGTAAGTCACAGCAGTGCTGGCGTCAGTCGTGTGATGCGCTCAGACGTTTCCGGACGAGGGAGAATGAAAGCGCCGATGCCGGCAGTGCACCCCTCAACACGCGGCTGACTTGCGAGCGTGCATGTTTCCCTGACGCCGTCCGCGCAGGTACGCGCGGCCGGCGGCGGCCGCTGCGCGCCGTCCCACGACACCGGCCGCGGCCGCCTCAGCGGGTAACAGCGGGCGCGCGCGGCCGACAGGTGCATGTGCCGGGCCGGGTACGACGGGCCGCGCTGCCAGCAGACGAGCCGCAGCTTCCGCGGCGACGGCTGGGCCTGGTTGCCGCCGCTCTCGCTGTGCGAGGAAACGCACCTGGCCGTCGAGTTCAGCACGCGACGCAAGGACGGCCTGATCCTGTACAACGGACCGATCACGGCGCCGGAGGATGACCAGCCGGTGGTGTCCGGTCAGTGGCGGTGGCGGACGGTGCTGGGCGCGGAGATCGCGAGGTCGCCTCGGTGGGAAGTGGTTTTGGAGATGTTGGACGAGCTCGGGATTGTTGTGACTGTCTCCGTATGCTAGTGAGCAGGTACAAATGGTCGTTTTGTTTTGAGGTAAAGCGGTCCATTTAATACGAAAGGAGAGTCAGGTCTGATTGCACCCCTTTCACGATGGTAAAGAGCACACCTTTGATACGAATTGCCAAAAGTCGAGCGTTTGTTCTCACCGGAGGACAATATGGAGCTGAGTGACTTTTTTTAAAAAAATCAGGTTCTAGGGTGAGTGACCGCCTACAGACGGTTGCCGCCCAGAAAACACTAGTTTGGTACTGAAACACCAATTTAGTGCTTGTGAAAAATTTTCATAATATTATTTTCATGCATGCCGCCAGCGCGGCACGGTCACATTATTGAACATGTACCTTACCTCCTCTCGCACGACCGGGGCGCCGCGTGACGCCCGTGTCGCGGCGCCGGCAGACTTCATCGCGCTGGAGCTGGAGGAGGGCAACCCGCGCCTGCTGCTCGACTTCGGCTCGGGCACGCTGGAGCTGACCGTGCAGACGCCGGCCGGCCTCGACGACGGCGAGTGGCACCGGCTGGACGTGTTCTGGGACCGCGAACACGTCCGCCTGCTGGTCGACCTGTGCCGCGCCGCCCAGGTGGTCGAGTCCGACGACGGCTCCGAGCCCGTGTTTCAGGACGCCGCGTGCGCCGCCGCCGGCACCATCCCGCCGTTCAGCGAGTACCTGAATGTGAACGCGCCGCTGCAGCTGGGCGGCGTGGTGCACGCGCCGTTCGGCCACCGCGCCTACGGCTGGCAGCACCAGCCCGTCGGCAAGCCCTTCGATGGCTGCGTCAGGAACCTGGTGGTCAACAGCGAGGTATGCGCCGGCGGCGGAGCGTCCTGTGTGTTTCTCCCCTCTGCTGTTACATGTCTGATTTGAGACTGACTGCTTATGTCCGATAGTGACTTATGGCTTACAAACCAGGCTTTAGCATTCTTAATGTTTGATATTCATGTTATTCAATGCTGTCGGTATCCAGTAGCCTCAAGTCCAAGTGCCCAACGTGTTTCGCTTGCGTCCGGTTTGATTGAGAGCTGAGATCTGCGCGAAGGGATGAGTTGAGCCGGGGGAGGGGGGGGGGGGGGGGGCGGCAGTGTAATAGTTAACGCGTCTGCGTTAACCACTGCGCGTCTGGGGAACCAGAGGTACGGGGTTCAATTCCCCGCGATGCCCGCCCTTCCTGCCAGGGCGAGAGGCAGGCGACGCCACATAGCCTCAGCAGCTGAGTGCGTCGTAAAGCCCCAGTGACGTGACGTGACTGGTTGAGCCGATACCGGCCACGTCCGTGCGTCCCCTCTCGGGCGCGTTTATCCGGCGCCGCGCCATGACGGCGCCGTCCGGTCGCTCCCCAGATGTACGACCTGTCAAACCCGGGTCTGAACCGGCACTCTTACCCGGGCTGTCCGCAAGTGGAGTCGGTGTGCAGCGGCGCCGACCTGACCTCGCGCTGCGGCGAGCACGGGCGCTGCGTCGGCTCCATGACGCGGCCCAACTGCGAGTGCGACCCCGGCTGGTCAGGTGGGTCACGGCCCTGGTGACCGTGGGTCAAGGGGGTCACGGCCCTGGTGACCGTGGGTTGGGTGGACCTCGCTCTTGGTGGCCGTGGGTCGGGTGGGTCACTAGGCGTGATTGGTGAGGGCGACAGAGTTCAACAGGTGCGTGTGCTCCCGATGTCATCGGCTTGAGGGACAGGGAACACGGCTGAGAGCCGGAACCGCAGAACATCAGATCGCTTACATTGACATTGACTCCGTGTACGAGGCTTCGGCGTCTCCCCAATCTGACTTAAGCGCACCGTCGGAACGCCAATTGGCGCTGGTTTGGCGCTTGTCGTGTCCGATTAATGATGTGGCGTGGAGTAGGACCACTGTGTACTGCTCGTCTGCTGTCTGCCACGAGCTCCGACTGTCTCGCGGACCTGGCTGGCGTCGGTCCGCCCGTGCGCCGGCGTCAGCTGTCGTGCGGCGTCCTCGCCGGCGCGTGCTGACGGCTGGCGCGGGCGCGTGCGCAGGTCCCGGCTGCTCCATCCCCACCATCCCGGCCACCTTCCTGCCGGAGTCGTACGTCAAGTACGCGCTCAGCTTCTCGCCGGACGAGTTCCGCACGGAGGTGCAGCTGCGCTTCCGCACGCGCGAGCAGCACGGCGAGCTGTTCCGCGTGTCGGACCAGCACAACCGCGAGTGGTGCATACTGGAGATCAGCGACGCCAAGCTGCGCTTCAGGTGAGCCGGCGGCGGCGCGAGAGCGGCGCGCGCGCGGCCGCGGCGGGGGGGGGGGTCACCTCTATGAGCAGGGAACCCGTCCGTCGGGAGGGGGAGGGGGGGGGGGGCGCCGGGCGGGGCTCGTGTCGGCCACCCGGGCGCATGTTTCCGAACAGCCCTCCAGTGGACAGTGTCGCGTTTCGGTCCGATGTATCTCCTCGTTGCGTGCGAATCCAGTTTGGCGGCGGCGTCCACTGCGGACAACGTTAGCCCGGCCGGCGACGGGGCCTGTCAGGCGCGTCGTGCCTGGTCGTGTCCCGTAGTCGGCCCCCGCGTGAGCGACGGTCAGGAGCAGCAGCAGTGGCCAGCCGCGGTCTCAGGCAGCGGCAGCGGCGGCGGCGGCGGCGACGAGTCCGCCACCAGCCGCCGACCGGGTCCATCTGACCGGCCGCCCGCCTGCCCGCCCGCAGATACAACCTGAACATCCTGCGCACCGAGGAGCACGAGCTCTCGCTGTCGGCCGTCAACGTCAACGACGGCCAGTGGCACGTGGTGCGCGTCAGTCGGCACGGCTCGGCGGCCGTGCTGCGCATGGACGGCGGCGAGGGACGCAGGTGGGTGCGGGTGTGGGTGTGGGACGTCAGGCGCCGGCTGGCCGGCCACCGCGTCAGGAGGTGTCGGCTGGCAGGAGGCGGCGTCGGCTGCAGATGGGCGTGGTCGGGCTGGGTGGCTCCGGACGGATCGGGAGTTGGAGTGGGCTGGATCGTCAGAGGGCTTCGGAGATGGTGGGTGGCGGTTCTCACGCCAGGAAGTGGCTGGCAGAGCTGGTTTCGTCCGGCCAGGGCCCGGGGCATGACTTCTGGCGTGCCCTGGGGCACACCCGTGCTGTGGCGGCCGTTGCTGGACATGATGCGTGTCTGGTGGCTGGTTATTACCGATCCGATTCGACCCCGACCCCGACCCCGACCCCGACCCCGACCCCGACCCCGACCCCGACCCCGACCCGACCCCGACCCCGACCCCGACCCCGACCCCGACCCCGACCCCGACCCCGACCCCGACCCGACTCCGACTCCGACTCCGACTCCGACTCCGACTCCGACTCCGACACCGACCCCGGCCCCGATCCCAACCCCGGCCCCGGCCCCGGCCCCCGACCCGACCCCGACCCCGACCCCGACCCCGACCCCGACCCCGACCCCGACCCCGACCCCGACCCCGACCCCCGACCCCGACCCCGACCCTCGACCCCGACCCCGACCTCGACCCCGACCCCGACCCCGACTCCGACCTCCGACCTCCCGACTCCGACTCCGACTCCGACACCGACACCGACACCGACACCGACACCGACCCCGGCCCCGATCCCACCCCGACCCCGGCCCCGGCCCCGGCCCCGGCCCCGGCCCCGGCCCCGGCCCCGGCCCCGGCCCCGGCCCCGGCCCCGGCCCCGGCCCCGGCCCCGGCCCCGGCCCCGGCCCCGACCCCGGCCCCGACCCCGGCCCCGGCCCCGGCCCCGACCCCGACCCCGACCCCGACCCCCGCTTCACTTCACTTCACTTCACTTCACTTCACTTCACTTCACTTCACTTCACTTCACTTCACTTCGCTTCGCTTTACTTTACTTTACTTTACTTTACTTCACTTCACTTCACTTCACTTCACTTCACTTCACTTTACCTCGCCCCTCCCTATCTGGTCCTCATCCGCGCTGACTCGCCTAACTCAGACCTGACCTGACCTGACCTGACCGGCGCCTTCCGTTTCGGCAGGTACAACGAGAGCATCCAGTTCACGGGTCACCAGAAGCTGGCTGTGGACAAGCAGGAGGGCGTGTACGCGGGCGGCAAGGCCGAGTACACGGGCGTGCGCACCTTCGAGGTCTACTCCGACTACAAGAACGGTGAGCGGACGCCGGGGGAGACGACGGGGGCGCTGGCTCACCGTCCGGTGATGAGGGGACGGACGGCGTGATGCCGGTGGTCTGGGGCTATCGGTGGACGGGGCTGTGTGTTCGGGCGGCGCCCGTCGAAAGGGGGAGGGTTTGATGGCGTTGGTGGCTATCGTGGGACGGGATGGAGACTGGGCGGGGGAAATTGATGTTTAGTGGCCGGCGACGTGGCCTTTGTCACGAGTGTGCTCTGGTCGGGTCGGATCTAACTAGGTCTAACTTGACAAGGTGCCTGCATGGTGTCCATCCGGAGGGCCATCAGCCTCCTGCTGATCTGACCTGGCCTGGCCTGGCCTGACCTGACCTGGCCTGACCTGACCTGACCTGACCTGACCTGACCCGACCTAGCTTAACCCGACCTGACATGACATGATCTGGCTGGGTAGGTTGCTTGGTTGATGTTCGTCCGGAGAGTTGCACGCTGCCCTGGACCCGATGTGACCTGACCTGACCTGATCTGACCTCATCCAACCCGACCCGGCAGGTTGCCTGGACGACATCCGTCTGGACGGCTGCCAGCTGCCGCTACCGCCTGGTATGAACGGCACCCAGTGGGGACAGGCCACCATGAAGCGTAACCTTAAGATGGACTGCGCCTCCAACGACCCGTGCGCCAACGTCATCTGCCCCACACCCTTCTCCTGCATCGACATGTGGATGAAATACGACTGCGCGTGAGTGCTCGCCCCTGATGCGCGCGCAGACGAGGTCACCCCCCGCTGAAGGAGTCGTACTTGTCGAGAGTAGGGGGCGTGGGGCTCGGAGCTGGGGTGGCTGTGGTGCTGGCTGGGCTGGAGACGGGCTCAAAAGGTGGGGTAGCGTATATCTGGCGCTTGGACTCGGAGTTTGACAACTTTGATCGCGCTGTGTACAGAATCATGAGATGTATTTTTAAAAAAAACGTGGAAATAACTCGCACAGTGCATCTTCATCCAAGGACTTGGTTGATCTTCATTAAGAGCGATCTTGAATTCACGTTTAGCTGTCCTTTCGGATATTATCGATGCCATGTTGTTGTTTTTTATATCACAGATACACGTTTTGTTGCGCATCGTTTCGTTCTCCCTGTCGTCTCGTTGTCCTTGTCCCAGATCCTGTCCGGCTAGTCGAGCGCCTGCTGCTAACACTGAGTGGCCATTGTCGGCGGCCTGGGATGCACGGTGAAGGGATCCCAGGGGGCAGCGGGCTCGAGCTCGGCTAAAAGCTGGAGAGACGGCGCCAGAACACACTGCATGCAGACATACTCAGGACATTCAAAAGCTGGCGAGGAAAGGCACCTAAGCGAGCCCGGCTAACCCATCGAAGCACCCAGTGGGAGCGAGCGCGTAAGACGGGCTCACGGTGCAGCGTTGCGCGCCTTCTCTCCAGTTTTGCCGGTCTCGGGCAGGGCTGCCGGTGGTGGGGTCACCCGGCCCCGGCTGGCTGCTCGACGCCGGTCGGAGCCGGTGTGCGGGGCACGTGTGCGGGGTCGCACCGCGATTCTAACCGAGCGCGCCGACTGCTTCACTGACGGACTAACTGTGGTGCACCGGCTGCCTGAACTAACGGTTCGGGGCTGTGGGACTGGGGCTGGCCGGCGGGGCCGTGCGGAGGGGCGCCCCGGCGCCGCCGCCGGCCGCCGGCGGGCCCGCACGCGCCGCTGACGGCCGCGGCCGGCAGGTGCGGGGACTTCAGCATGGTCACCAGCGACGGCAAGTCGTGTGTCGACCGCAACGAGTGCCTGCTAGACAGCCCGTGCCTGAACGGCGGCCTGTGCGTGAACCGCGATCCCGAGTACGTGTGCCAGTGCCGGGCCGGCTTCACGGGCCGCCGCTGCGGCGTCGTGGCCGAGCAGCAGGTGCTGCGGCTCAGCATGGGGGCGCTGGCCGCCATCCTCGTCTGCCTGCTCATCATCCTGAGTGAGTGGCCAGGCCGGCCGCACCGACGTCGGCCGACGCAGCGCACGCGGGGGTCGCAAGCACGGCTCCCCCAACCAGTGGCGGGAGCTCGGAGACTTGGCTCCTCCCAGTCACTGGGTGGATGGCACGGCTTCTAGTCATTATGTGGACGGCATTGGTCCTAGTCACGGGGTGGACGTCACGGCTCATCCCAGGCACTGGGTGGACACCGCACGCCTAAGCTTCCCAGGCACTGGGCGGACGCCCGCGTCATGGCCCTCTTCATGCAAAGGCTGCACGTCCGAAGCATGCCCGCCTGCGACGCCAGCCGGCGGCGTCGGCCGGGCTGGGTGCGGGTGAGACAGCACGACTGGCACTGTAGCTAGAGCGCATGCACTAACTCCCCGCCGCTCGATCGCCCCCGCCGCGCGTCGAGGTGAGTGCCGAGAGCGCGCGGACTGAGGCAGCACCTCGCGCGCAGCTGTCCGGCCGGCTACCAGCGCTGGAACGCCGAGTGCCTGGACGAGAACGAGTGCGAGTGGAACCCGTGCCTGCACGGCGCCGCCTGCCACAACACGGAGGGCGGCTACCGGTGCGAGTGCCCGGGCGGCTTTGGCGGCCGCGACTGCGAGCTGCTGGCCGGCGTCACCGGCCGCTTCCACTACCCGGCCGAGTTCGTCGTGCCCATCGTGGCCTGCATTCTGCTGCTGCTCGGTGAGTGGCGCGCCGCCGTCGGCCGAGGAGGCGCGCGGCACCGCAGGACGGCCGCCGATAGGGCGGCGCGGCGCCGCGGGCGGAGGAGGCGTCGCTGCGTCGCGGCGGGCTCGGTGGACGGGCACCGGTGAGTGGGCGGGGCACGCCGTGGCGCCCCGCACGCCGGCTCAGCCAGAGGAGCTGGCGGCGCACGTCCGTGCCCGACAACGCTTTCGCTATGTTGAAGCGCCCAGGTATGCTGTGTTGACGTCTGGCTTCCGGCGATCAGACTCAGCGTACACCGGGGCTTCATGTATGTACTGGAATTTATGGTTGTCGTTTGTCCCGTTGGTCCGCTATTTCGTTCACTGCACCGCTTGGCATGTGTAGGCATGATTGCGGCCGCCGGTTTATCTCCGAGACTATAATTTTTTGGTGTGTTGGTAGATTTGTTCAGCTGGTTGTCATTTATCATTTGAAAATTGATTGCTGTCACGCATGGCCGGTAACTTTTGCCGATACAGGATTCAGTCGTGGAGTGGTGCGACATGACGTATGTTCAGGCCCACCCCGCGCGGGGCGCGAGAGCGTGCCAGCGGCTGCGCCTCCGACGTCGCCGTTGGCGCTGACGCCGCCCCCGTGCCACAGTCCTGGTGCTCGTCTTCGTCGTCTACAACCGGCAAAAGGAGCGGCACTACCCCAAGCAGGACCCGTATGACGACGTGCGCGAGAACATCATCAACTACGACGACGAGGGCGGCGGCGAGGACGACATGACGGCGTTCGACATCACGCCGCTGCAGATCCCGATCGGCCCGATGGTCGGCAACGGAAAGCCGCTGGGCAAGGCGCCCCACCCTTGTGAGTGCGCCGCCGGCCGGGCCGCACGGGCGCCCTGGTGGTGGCCGACGCCGTGTGGGATCGGCGGGGGGGGGGGGAAGGTGTGGAGGTCGGGGGACGTCGTCGGGATGGCAAGCGCATCGGGTTGGTTAAGAAGCTACAGATGAGTCTCGCGGGGAAAATACGTCCGTGAAGGACTTTGTACCGGGTCTGGACGTCATCGAAGACGGCTAGCGTCTCCACGGCTCCACCGACGGTGTGGCGTTCGTCGTGTTGCCCCCTACCGCCAACTATGGCATGGTCTGACTTGCCTTCACTGTCACAGTCGTCGCCTGGCGCGTGCGAGCGTCGGGAGCGAGACGCCCCTCCCCTGCTTCCTCGTGTGACGCCCTCCCCCTCCCCCCTCTCCGACAGACGGCTCCGGCCCACACCCGGACGTGGGCTCGTTTATCGACGAGCACAAGGACCGGGCCGACACGGATCCGAACGCGCCGCCCTACGACGACCTGCGTAACTACGCGTACGAGGGCGGCGGCTCGACGGCCGGCTCGCTGTCCTCGCTCGCCTCCGGTGAGGGCGCTGACACCGCCGGCCGCAGGGGTGACGCCGGCATCCCGGACCGAGGCCAACGACCCTTCCCCCGACCGCCTGGGGCCCCCGCCATGCCGGCCTGTCGGCGTGTTGCCCGCGGCTCGTTGCCCGTCCCTTATCCACCGACTGTTGCCGCTGCCGGCCCGGTCCCGCCTGTCCGTTCGGCCGCACTTCTGGCGGTCTGCTCAAGCTGGACGGACGCGGCTCGCCGGCGGGTCTGGTCTTCACATCTTCACCCTGTCCTGAGCGTGACGCAGACCCCTCGACCCCCCCCCCCTGCCCCCTTGCCCTGTGCCTGGCTGATCTTTTGGCTGTGATCGGGGCGGCGCGGAAACACCCCGGGCTGTTTGTGTAGTAGTTTTTGGCCGTTTTGCAGTGTGCTGGTTTGACTAGACGGTTGTCGCCGCGGCGTGTGGTGGTGAGGGAGGGCGGGGAGGAGGGTGGCAGACTGGACCCGCGGACCCGACCCACACAGTCATAATAGCATACACCGTTCCAGAAGACGTCATTGCCGGGGAGCTCACACTGACGTACTGTCTGTAGCGAGGAACCTGACGCGCCCGCGGGAATGTATGGCAAATGGCCGGGCGGCATACCGAGACGCGGTCCGATCGGATTTCAACAGGGATATCAAATATGTGCGAATTTGACCAATGCTTTCCTCATAAGGCGTGCTGCTCTTCCTTTTGTGAAGCGATGCCATCATCCCAAGTTCCCCCCATCTGTGTGTGAACGGCGGTGTTATTCACCACTTTGTTAGATTATCGAAACATTGCCAGCTTAGCATGAGATCACCATCTCGGCCTATCATTTCGTTGCTCGCCGCAAAAGCACATGTTTATGTCCATTAAAACGGGCACACGCTGCGCAGAGTAAAAGTGTGTCGTATGCGATAGCGTCTCGCGAGTGAGCGCTCATGTTTAAGCATTTGGGAGCCCGTAGCTACGTCTACGGGTAAACCAATGCATGCAACCATTGGTGAAACCAAACCTCGCCCCGAATGCAGCGTAACAATGAAAAAGTTCAGAAACAGGCTGCCGCCACCCCATCAGAAGACGGCACGCGTTCCGCCTTACGGACCCGAAAACGGACCTGGCCGGTCGTAGGGGCAGGGGTCAGGGCGGGGGCGGGGGCGGGGGCGGGGGCGGGGCGGTGCGTGGTCCCAGTCTGCCGCCCGCCGGTCGGGCCGGGCTCGGGGAGGGAGACGGGGAGGGGCGGTGCGTCACAACAATACCGCGCGCCGTCAACTGACCGGCGTTCTTTCTCGTCCCCACAGGCCTCTCCGAGTAGTCTAGGTATTGTTGGGTCCGCCGCCCACTCTCTGTTCTCTCTCGCTCTCTGTCTATCATTCTCCGTTTTCTCTCTGTCTCTCTGTCGCTCTTTCTGTCCGCCGACACTGCGTGCCGTCCCACCCCGCCGTCCGTGCCCCCTTTCCGTCCTGTGCGTCGGGCCCGGCGGCGGCGCCGTGCGCGCCGGCCTGAGAGCCCTCCGGTCCGTGTAGTTCGGTGTGACTTGCCGTTCAGCTGTGTTCGATCGGCTCCCATCCGGACCACACCGCCCCTCCGGATCCACCGAAGGCCCCTGTGACTGGGGCGATCAGGGTCGCGCGCCGCTCGGCCGGCCCCTGTAGAGGTGCACCGTAACTAGATGTACCTGCTGCACTCGGTCGATGCGTCGTGAGTTAGCGCATAGGTCCTGCGGTGTGGTATACTCGACGTAGCGTGCACGCCCCGCGCGACCTAAGAACCTGCGCGGGTAGCTTCGACACCGCCGAAAAGAACCGAAAGGTTATTCCAGCAGGACCTAGGTCCGTGTTCTGTGCGGTGGGGTATGGCTTTGATGGCAGCGGTTGCAGAAGTTTCTTTAGTGTTGAAGATAGCCCATGAAATAGAACGGGTACGCACGTTGATAATCAAGGTGGTGTCCAGTGTTATAGGCTAGATATTGGATCCCCTGCAGCTTAATTTTTATACATGAATCCTGAGGAACGAGCTGGCGTCGTATTTAAGTTTAGCTTTGGTCAGTCACCGACGTCTGATGTCACGTCTTAATGACCTGTATTGTGTCTCGTAGGTCTGCTTGCAGAGTATGGACTGCTTTCGCCACTCTCCTTGTTGTCCCCTGCGCTATGTATCTCTTTCTGCTCTCCCGCACGAGTAGAACCGACACTGGCTACGTGCAATATGCTCAGCCTGCGAACATGCAACTTTGCATAAGAGTGGCTTGGAGAGTTTTGAATGTAACGTGCCCTTGTATCTCTATAGCTTTCGGCCTTGCTTTCATAGGTATGCAGACTAAACCTAGCATTTCGTTGAAGTAGTCACCTGCTTTGTATTTTGTGTAAGCCTTCTTTTGCTTTAAGCTGTCGCCAAAGTTGAGAACTTCGTCAGCCGATTATTGATTTTGAGCTGCTCTGCGGAAGCGCTTTCCGGCGAGGCGTCGCTGCGCCCCGATCCTTGCCGTCCTCTCGACCCGTCGTCTCGACCCGTCCTCTCGACCCGTCCTCGGCCGCTGCACGTAGGCGGCCGGGCCCTGACCGGGACTGTTGTGAGCCCCTCCCACAGTAGGCCTCGATCGGCATGTGACACGTTGGCCTGGCTGTGAGGATCACGAGAGCACACTGCACCTGTCGGTCGTTTGGGGCCGCACACCCTTGCTCGCACGCTTCTTAGGGAAGACCGCTTTCTGGCGCTGTTGTCCGGGTCATGCGGTGACGCTTGGTGTAGCGCTGACTCTTCCCGCCCGCTTGGGTTTGTCGGATCGCGTCCCCGGCTTGTCCGCGGGTCGACTGTCCGTCGGCGTCGCTGTGGGTGGCGCCTGCGCGCCTGGGGGGGGGGGGGGGGGATCGTGACGCTGATGTGTCGGTGGCGGTGGTGCGTTGGCCGCAGCCATGGCCGTGACCTGGCGCCGTGTTCGCAGGCACGGACGAGAACGAGCAGGACTTTGAGTATCTGAATAATTGGGGGCCGCGCTTCTCCAAGCTGGCGGACATGTACGGCCGCGGCGAGTCCGAGGAGGAAGAGGAGGAGCCGTGAGCAGCGCGCGGCCCGCCATTCCACGGCGCGCGTCCGATCTCAGCGACCTGCCGGCGCCCGGCCGGCGCGTGCCATGCCGGCGGCCGGGCCGACCCGGCGCGCCACGGTCCGGCCGCCCGCGCCGCCAGCGCACTGTCTCCCGCTCGCTCTCTCTCTCTCTCTCCCTCTCTCCTCTCTGTCTGTCGCTGTCGATGTGTGAGAGAGCGCGCGCGCGCGTGTGTGGGACCGAGCGGACGCCGCGGCGAGTGGTACTTACCGTTTTCTACGTTTGATACGCGGCCGGGCCGGAGAGGGGCGCGCGGCGCGCCCCCTGCTCATCTGACGGCCGCCGCGAGAGGCAGGCGCGGCGGGACGCGGCTTTTGTTTTGATGTGTGCACGCGCGGCGCCGGGACGCGCCGCCGGCCGTTTGTTTTTGGTGCCAACCGCGCGCGCGCGCGCAGGCGAGTGGTCAGCTGGAGCCGGCGGCTGGAGATCATCGAACTGTTGGATCTCACCCGGAAGCGGTGGAGCGTGCGCGCGTGCCCCGCCCGCCGCCATACTCATTGGAATCTCGCCGCCCGCCCACACATCTGAATCTCACGAAATCAAAGTGTTGCAGCCTCTAGTCACGGTCTGTCTCTACCCGCCAGCGATGTACTCACCGGGACGCATGGCAGGACGAGCGGCCCCAAGTGGCCGCGCTCCGTCGAAAGCAATAGTGGTGTGTTTCACTCGTCCTTTTCTTTTCTGTGCTGGACAATCACGTTTAGTGGCTTTATGATTTGCGCGTCCGCCTGGTTTCGTGATTTTCTTGGACGTGTTGACTCATTTGTGAGATTCGTTAGCGGTTTTCCGCGGGTGACGCGGCGTGAGCCACGTGTGGACCATCTTCATTTGGACGTACAATTTGAGAGGTTATGTTTTGTTCGTGCCTGTGCTTTCGGTGCTTGCGTTTTATACAATTTATACGTGATTTGTAAGAGAGTAGTGATGCGTGACGTCTCTGTATGAACATTCTCTAGGATATGTTGTATGAAGTAGCAAAAGTAAAATTATGTCTCAATGGCGGCTTTTGCTAATTGTAGACTAAAGGAGAAAAGGCAAACTGGCGAAATAGCTAAGTAGATACACTCAGTGCAAAGCTGAACACGGTACTGCGGTCCGAAAGCGTCATCGCCGCAAATTAAGATGGAGATGAGCTCGGGCTTCCCTAATTATGTACTGAGAGAGGCGAGAAGGTATGAAGCGGTGGTGGAAGCGACAGCCCTTGGCATGCTCGTTGTGTCCACAATGTCGAGGACCGACGACGTAATGAACTTTGTCCTTTCGAAGGGATGTAATCAGGAACCATTATTGTCACGATGAGACCGTGATCGGGCATGCATCTCATGACATTATTCCTGGCCTTTGTTTTTGAAAAGAAAATTTCTTCACTGTTGGTACCTGCCCTACAAACGCACATGGATTTGCGGAACGTGCGCCGGTTTTGTGCCGGGAGGTCAGGAAGGTCGCATAAAATTGGGGCACTCACTGCATTTGTACCAAGTTGCCCCAGAGGTTTTGCAATTTAATTACGATAACTTTGTTCCAAATGATTTAAATCTGACGAATGACGGGCAGCCGACATAGACGGCTTGTGCCCCTAAGAAAAGTGACGTCTGCCGGTGTACTGCGCGGCGGGCCAGAAACCTCCGCGGATCCAGGAAAGTTGAAAAGGGCAGCCTTATCTCTTCCAGCGCTAGATAGAAATACCAGCGTCACCAGTCTAAGCACTACTCCAGAAGCCGAAACACGTCGCAGAACAGCAGCGAACAAGCGGAAAGCCCCCGACAACTCTGACGACACCTCGGAAGAGGACACGTCCGCCTGCGTAGGCCGCCGGGTCACCAGGTCCTCCGCGAGCGCCACAGGGCACGGCGGCAATGCCGCCCGGGCAAAGCGGCCCGCCAGCACGCGGTCGGTGCACAAATCGCCCTCGCTGACCCACATCTCCGGCGGGGCGAGTCGTCAGTCACCGGCGGCCGGTGTCTCGCTGACGGTGGCGTGGCGCGGGAGGGATGCCGGCCGGCCGGCGGCTCCCCGGCTGCCGCGGCACGGCTCGCCGCACCCGCGCGCCCGCCAAGGATCACGCCGCTCCGCCAGCCCGGCGTCGACGGCGTCAGATGCCTCCTCGGGCGCCGTCGGTGGCGAGCTGAAGCGCGGGAGGGAGCCTCACGGAGGCGGCAAGTTCGCAGCGAAAGGCTCCACAGGCAGAAGGAAGACTGCATGTGGAACAGATATGGCCGGTAGAAACAAATGAGTGGGTATGTATGAGTGACTGGTTGTTTCTTGGCAAGGATGCAAGGATCGTGATAAGTATGTTTTATTTTGAAATTATTGTAGCTTCTGTTTGGATGAGCGTCGTTCTTCATATGTTGGGTGCGGGTGGGGTAGTGACTTCAGTTGTGTCGTTAGTAAATTAGCCTATAACAGTCCTACAAAAACAGACAATAAAAAAATAAACCTTCTATTGAAAAGCTCGCATGTTTGTTGATTATCTGGTTGGACGAGTCGAATGTGAGGACGCCGCATGCTGCTGATCGGGTGTTGAGAATTAACCTTGTCGGGGTGGTGATGCAATCATGTCTCTTTGTCTTGTAAAGCTGTCAAATTGGGTTAATCGTGGATTCGTTCTGATATGTGCTGCCTCCGATTGTGCAATCCAGATTGCTATCGGGTAGCATGTTCATGACTGACACGTCAAGGTCATGCGCGATATTTAAGTACGCGATGGACCCCGTATGAGCTCCGCAAGTATGCTGACGGGTTTTATCTCATCGGAAGGATAGATGGTTCACGTATTTGAGTTGTGCAGACAGCACCGTCCTCATGCTGCACACATGGTGTCAATATTCGTAGCATGGTATATGCAGCTGCATCTTGCGGTCACCAAAATAAACATGAACAGACACACATAGGTCATAAACAGCGTAGGTGACGACCTTCATCATGGGCGCTCATGCAGCTCCTTCGTCAAACGGCAAGAGCCATTGCGTATCACAATGTTAGTACCCGAGCCGAAAAACGGAACGCCACTCGGCGATCACAACTGGTTTCCGACAAGGTTCACAGTATCATCTCGCTGGCTGTTGCATTCCGGACTAAATCATTTACTTCACAACTGAGGTGCTCAGGCTGGCCTGACTGCCCGAAATCCAGAGACTAACGCATGTTGCTCGTGGCGTGGGTAATGCGTCTGCTCGTGGCTTTGTGTCGCACATCGCGTCTCTAGCAGGGCTGCGATGGTCGCGCACCGTTACCCGCGTCCACGCCACCCGGGCATCGACTTAGAGGAGATACGGCTTCGCCCACGGGCGCGGCGGCCTCCTTTCAACTTTCCTGCAGCCTCGCCCTCAGCCAAGGCCGCAGCCCTCCCTCCCCCCCCCCCCGGCTAACGCCTATTCGGCAGCTTCCTCAAAACGTACATTGCCATCGTGCGCCGCCCGCGACTGCGAGGCGTCCCCGAAGTGCACCGCGCCACGCGCCTCGTCCGCCGGCTTGCTGTCGTCGGCGGGGCTGTCGGCCAGGATGTCGGAGTCAGCGTGCCGCACGAGCTGTCGCACGCCCAGCGGCGCGGCCACGTCGGCCGTCTTGCAGACGCGGTGCTGCAGGCACGTGTCGGGGCAGCAGAGGTCCTGCAGCGAGCACTCGCCGTGCGAGAAGCACTCGGTTGGCGGCGAGGCCGCGTGACGCGACGTCACGCAGACGGGCTGCGGTGGCGGGCACACTCCTACCGGCCAAGGGGGACTGCGTCAGTGACGCGCACCGTGAACACACGGGCGGTCCTCGCTGATCATGTCTTATGTTGTGATTGGGGTCTAGCGACATGCGCAGCAACTGAGAACATTACCGTGGCGTCGCGGCGTTTCGACGGCTTATTTCAACGGTGTGGCCTACGCCACACCGTTGCTGATACATGACGTCACATCAGCGGCACGGTGTGTCAGTGGTATGCATGCACGAACGCGCAACGACCGTATCTCTGACGTCAGCGAAGACATCCCGTGACAAATCTTGTATTTCCGTGCCTGCGGTGCCCGAGTGAGCCCGGCCGAACCGCGCCGGGGACGGCTGCATACTCACTGTTGCCGCCGAAGCCCGCGTTACTGGCGTGGATGCCGGTGTTACCGACGTTGAAGCCGGTGTTGCCGGCGTAGAGACCGGACGAGCCGGTCTGGTACTGGCCGCCGTACGCCGTGAACGGGACGATCTGCGGGCCGCTGCGGTCGCAGCAGTAGTAGCGGACGCGGCCCCCGTACCCCGGGTAGCCGTTGAAGTTGTTCCGGCGGCACCAGTTCCTGCCGAAGCCCAGCGTCAGTTCTGCAGCTGGCCTGGACACGGCAGGCCTGCCTCCAGCGCGTATGTGCTGTGGCGGTGGCGAGGGCGTCAACGACCGGCGCAGCCATTGGAATGGCGGAGTCAGCTGATCGTGCCGCGTCACTACGGGTTTGCTTCTCGGCGTCGACATTTTGGCGAGAAAATAAAATGTTTTACCAGTCTCAGGTTGATATGGTGAATTATCAGATTCCGGGTTTTTACGTGAGGTGATGACCATTACTTTGGAATAACTGGCTCGCTGCATCCGCGTAAAACACAATGCATGTTATAAAAAACGACTTACCTGCAATATGATGGACGCTGATATCCTTGATATCCTCCAGGAAAACCACCTGGATATCCTCCGGGAAAGACTCCAGGGAAGATCCCTTGGGAGCCTCCCGGGAAAATTCCGCCAGGGTATCCTCCAGGGAAAACGCCTCCAGGGAAGCTTCCTCCGATTCCGCCGGGAAACAATCCGGGGTATGCAGCTCTTGTTCTACTGGATCCGGCTGGATCCACCTGTATCGCCTGGATCCCTTGGTCCCGTACCAGAGACCTGCCACTGGCGTCCGAGCTGGGCTTGTTGTCAGAGGTGTGGACAACGCTGCCCACCACTGAGAGGCCGAACAGCACCAGCAGGACGGCGTGCGCCATCTGAAAGACGGCGAAGTCAACGCATCGTCTGCGATGGTACCAGAACTACGAAATAAAAAGGAGGTCGTGAAGGCAGCAACCAGCCGCATCAGCTGCCGTTCACGAACGGCGACAGTAAGCTTGTCCAGGCTGTTAGCATTCTTAGTAGGATAAAACTTGTTTGTACAGGTAAACTCGCTTTCGTCGCACATGCAAAGTCCCGAGATTATCGGCTCGGACGCTACAGTTCCTCGAGCACCATCTGTACCGATTCAGCGCCAGCCGCCAGCTGTGTGATGCGAATATTCTATATTTATCATCTGGGCCCAAGCGACTCGTGGATATGTCTGGATAGTAGATGCAGACCTGTTTTAACCGCTCTTATATCATGTAAAGTTGCCCGATGATCACGTCTTCACTAGCCACACCTCATAAACTCGACCCATCGTCAGACTTACCCCTAATCAGAAGATATACACAAACGCCAAGCGATCAGCGGGTAACGCTCCACCTCACTCGCTATGCAACACGACAATAGCGTCATCCACAGGTCCGGCGCAACTTTATCCCACTTCTGGCTCTGCAAGTGGGTCAAGGTCCTCTCAGAGGGGGAGGGGGATGGGGAGGCCTCACGACTGCCGGGAGACAGGTTGCTGGTCCCATATAGGGAAAGCAGGTTCTTAGAGCCTCAACGCGAGAGATGCTGGCACGGCCGTGCGCCCAGGCCTCATGCCGACTCGAGTACGCCTCGTGACCCTGCACGTTGGCAGAGCGAAACTCACATGACGTCTGAACGTGGATCCAGGGAATACGCGCACGTCACGCACATTCCCAGGCAGGCAGCTTTGGTGGCGCTACTGCTTCCGAACAAGTGATAAGATCAGGCGTCAGCTCCACTAACTGCAAATGTTCGCGGATATGCGCCACGCACGCTACAAACCCAAAGCCGTGTTGCCCGGAGCGGGACACGCGGACGAGCAGAAGATCCGCTGTTCGGAGGCCCGGCCCGCTATATCCGCCGGCGGCTCGCCCGTCAGCTACGGGGATCTGCGGGGAGAGGAGGGAGTCGAGA